GGGAAGGCAAGAATATGACACCTTATTATCTATTTGAAGGTACAATAGCACTGAGGTTCATTTTCAGGGGAGCAGATTTTATCTGTGCACTTCAGAGGGCAAAACCTCTTTTCCAGAGGCTGTTTCTTGCTCTGTTTACAGCCTGCCAAAGCCTGTTTTTCCTGCAAAAGGAACAAGTGTGTCAGACAGGTGATACCTCTGCTCCATTCTTGCTGCCAGGCTGGACATAACTGCATTTAGCTCCTCATCATGAACAGCCTGAGCCTGCAGAACCAGTCCTACATCTATAGAGGCCAGACCTATGTAGTAAGAAAGGTGATAGACCTATACTTCACGGGTTTTTTCTGTATTCCCTTTTGCTGCATGGAGCTTATGTCCGGTTTGGGGTTCAAAGTTGTTCAGTTTTGTAGATTCCAAGTCCTTGATGCAAAAGATTTCACATTTGGGATAGGTGGGTGAGGTTTGACATTATACTGTATTTAATATTCATTTTACAGGCACAGTGAAACACACAGAGGTCAAGTGATTTCCCTGGCACATCTAGGTAGGGTGCATGTCATGGCAGATGGGGGAATTGATGCAGGGTTTAGAGTGGTTCAGTTTAGAGTCTCATTTATGAGGCACTTATTTACTCACACTCAATCTCACTGGAGTTACTGATTAAAGGAAAGAACTATGTGGACTTGTGGATAGGACAGCATGTGGCCTAAGGGATCTACATATTCAAACTGCATGAGACGATCACCAGATTATAAACAGAACATAACCCCAGTGTCCTGGTTATTGGATTTGTCAGATACTCAGTATTAATAACCAGCATTAAATATTTTAGCATCAGAGAAGCCAGTAACTATTACCTTTTCCACTTCAGTCCATCTGTCCAGCACATCTCTTGCAAAGTTGAAGTACTCTGGCACAGCTACGCTGTACTGCTGTTTTATAGCTTCATAACTCAGAGAGGCATGAACTGGGTAGCACTGGCTGCAAAGTTGGAGAGATCTTCTCAGGGGAGCCCGCAGCAACACAGCACTTGGGATCTTCAGTAAAATATGCACAGCAGCAAGGGCCATAATAGCCTCTTCAAGGTTATTCCTTACTGATTATCTCTCCAAGAAAAACTACAGTGGTACAGATACAAGCCTGGTATTAGCCATGCAATTTCAGAACAGCTTTTACTACTACACAGTGGAATACACTGGAACAATAATTCCAACTGTTAATTGGAGTAACTGCTGAGGTCAGTTCCAGGTTGGCCATTGTCTGGCCCCTGCTCTCCAGTGACCATCAAGCGGCTGAGATCCTAATCCTGCATTCAACCAGCAGCACTCAGCCTTGTCACTGTGGGAGCATTCCTGTGATTCACGTTCCTTTCCTTCCTACAAACCCTGCTAATCTTGTAGATCACATTTCAGTTGCCCTATACAGCAAAGAAGCACTGAACGCTACCCAAGCATTTCAACTCTGACTTCTGTAAATTAAATGTTTGCTACTGGCTGACAATACAGAAATTACACAGATAATCCAGCAATTGTGCATGAATTACTGGCTGACCGCAGTGTCACTTGCTACAAAGATATTTTTCTAGTTTACCAGCATTGATAGAATATCATATTCTATCATATATATCAGCATAGAATATGGGGATATATTGGTTGCCAAGAATTAAATGAATGTAGCAAAGCCCTGAAAAGATTCTAAGTACTGATGTTTTAAGCATTATTTTGATGTGTGGTCAGCAAAAAGCGTCACTTTATGAGATAGGGGAACTTCAAAAGACTCCCTGAAAAAGGATTCAAAATGCAAAGCCTTGCTTCTCAAAAAAAGTCAACTTAGCAGGAGGTCTGAAAACTCTGAAGTCATTATTTTCATGCATTGCCAACTATCTTCTATTTACAACATAATAGAAACACTGCTAGTTCCTTACAGAATTAATAACTATCCAGCTGTAAAATCATGTGATTTTAGTGATTTAGTGAAGCAACAGGACATTTTTTGGATCTGTAACATTCAGTCTGCATGACAAACACAGGGGAGAAACCCAGCCAAATGAAAGACAAAGAAGGACAGGGAGAAGAGGGAATGTGGACAGACAAGAGGCAAATCAGCACTGCTCCAGTGCCAGAAAATGTCCTGGTCAGCAGCTTGCAGGGGTGGGTTGGAGGGCCAGTTACCTTGTCAAAAGGCTGTCAATCCCAATTTACTGCCTCTCTGCCTTGCACCAAAGTGGAGCCCTCTCAGTGCTGGCGTGTGTCACAGCTTTGACTCCTTATAGAGATCTCAGACTCCTGGCTGCGGGCCGACTCTTGCACTGTTACCTTGTCCAGTGATCGACTCCTGTGTTCCTCACATGTACTTTGAACTCACACAAAGGGCAGCCAAATCCAGCACATCATAAAGAGCTGGCAGGTTTCTGCAGAGCTCAGAGCAGGGGTAGAAAGTGTGAATACCTAATGTCTCCTGTTCCCTTTTCCTCTCTTCTTCTCAACCACCAGCCCACAGAGGAACACAGTCATAAGACCTTGCCACAGCCAAATCACATCTGTTACGCTCTGGCTGGGGCAACACAGGAGCAACAGCCTTGCAATTGGCTTTGCAACTCCACTGCTCAGCAGGTAGCTTGGGGTGCCTCAGGTAACCACAGCAGTTCAGCCTTGACAATAGTGAGTACTGGTTCCTGGGATGCTACAACTGGTGCCTGGAACAGCTTTGCTAATACCTGGTGACTTGCAAAGTTTTTAAAGGGCTTTGCCTCATGTTCAGAAAGCACACAGTTATGTGGTGTTCTAGTATTGCTGCTGCCTCTGCCCTACTCTGAAGGGAGAGGCAGGAAGGCATGTGTGCCATCCTCTCTGCCATCCAGGCTGCGGCCCTGCATCACTGTGGGCATGGCTGTGGCATTGATGTGTGCCTCTACCTTCAGCCTCTCCTGAGAGAATGTCACTCACTAGGGAGCTAGTGACAGCTGTAGCTTAAATTGGGGCATCGAGATTTGTAAGACTTTGACTGCCAGAGACCTAAATAGTTCTTTGTGTATTTTCATCCTCAAACCATGGCCCTAAGGTCAGCAGAGAGATTGCTAACACCCATTTATACCTTTGGAGCAGAACAGTCCTCTGGATGCTGATCAGTGAGGGTGACGCCGTGTTCTCTCCTGGCATGTAAGTCCTGTACTTTTTCCAGAACTCCCTCCTGGGGTTCTGCCGAGGTCAGTTTGTAAACAGTACACTCAAAGGAGATGTTAACCAGCTCCCTGAAATGCTCACTGCTGCAGAAAGTGATTCAAAACAGATTCCCCCAGACAACAAAGATGCTCTCTGCCTAGCAGTAAAGGGAGACCTACAGTGGGTCTGCAGTACTGACATTTTAAACAGCTCTTTGAATTGCATGTGATAAAATCCTCCCAGAGGAGAGGCAGAGGAACAGCTTTAAAGGGATTCCCTACCCAGAAGATCACATTGCCCCAGAGGAGGCACGAACATAGAGAAAATGACATCAATGGTTTGTGATAAGAGTCAGCAAATGTGCCAGGAATACATAAGAAAGAAGGTTTCCAGTTTAGGAAGAAAACCCTAACTTCCACAGTGACCTAACCTATAACCTATTCTTTTGGTAGGGCACATATAACTAATTTCCAGAGCACCCATGGATATTTCCAAATCCTGCAGCACTTTTCACCACAGAAGTATTCTAGTTACGTCCTGAGTGGTTAACTACATTTCCTCTGCACCACTCACAGCTGCCTGTAGAAATTTTTCCTCATGTTTCAAACATGTCCTGACATGCCCAACTCCAGAGACTATAGGTAATTCTCTGGCACTCTTGAGTCTTTCAAACAAGACCAGCCCTGCAAAGATTTAGTGACTTTAAATTTACATGTAGTCAATAATCCCACCGATGTCTAACAATTACTGTAGAATTATATGGGCCTCCGAGGCTCGTCAGAAACAAAGCTTCAAATAAGATATAAACACCATCTCCTGTTGTGGTTGTAACTGATAAATACTTCCATCAATTCATGAAGTTTCCCTTTATCAATCAAAAGACTCTTTGAATGCTAATAGTATGATAGACCTGGCCTTAGCGATGCCTCCTTAGCTCTCTCCTCTACCTGTTTTCACAAAATGTCAAGGAACTTAATTTTCCTCCCTTTAATTGCCCAAGAAGCTCAAGAGCTACTACAGGGAAAGGAGGCTCTTATGGACAGGAATGCAGACACCTTCCTTTAGAAACTACGCTACGGGATACTTTTTTTCCAGCCAACACATGCCTTCTAGTACCTCAGGCCTAAATTTACCTGTATAAAGAGCTTGTTTCAGCTGGTCCCTCTACACCATGGCACCTCCAGGAGTTATACAGGGAGCTGGGGAAGAGGCCAAGGCCCAGCGCGTTGGTGTTTGATACACCAACACAGGGCAGGACGAAGGTTTGTTGGCTCCCCCGCGCTTCAGTGAGCGTCCTCCCTCTTCTCCCCCCAGCCCAGGCCCACTGTTTCTCTCAATTCTGGAATCATTAACACAAACCCAGATTTCAATCCTAGCACTCAAGTTCAGAAGAGAGAGCATCACGGGCTACCAGCGACTGAGTTTAGCCACAGCTGAGTGCACTGCGTCCAGAGTACTGCGCCCGGGGTAATGCTCAACCTCCCCCCTGGCACGTGCAAAGCCTGAGGTGAATTGTAATTTTCAAGGGTGTTTGGCTGGTTGGTTGTTTTTTTTTGTTTTTTTTTTTTTTTTTTTTTTTTTAACCTCCTAGTGCGTTGCAATACCGACAGCAACACCGGCCGTGAGAGGAGCCAGGAAGCCGTCTGAGGGCCTCACTATGGATCCCACTCAGTGCCGGGGCTCGGCTTCCCCGGTGCAGCTCGGTAGCGCACCGGCCCGCGCCTCGCCACCCCGGCCCAGGCGGGAGCTGCGGGTGCCCGGTGCCCGCCGGTGCCCTCAGCGCTCCCCGCCTCACCCCGGGGGGGCGGCGCCGTCCCTGGGCGGGCGGGCGCTGGGGCAGCGGGCGCGGCGCTGACGCCATCGCGGCGCGCAGCGGCGGCGGGCGGCGGTCGGTGGCCGATGGCCGCGGCGGAGCCGGCGGCGCGGAAGCGGCGGCCCCGGGGGCACTTCGCGGCGGCGGCGGGGCGGGCCAAGCGGCCCCGCGGCGGCGGGCGGCAGCTGGAGGCCGGCATGCGCGGCATCCTCATCACCTGCAACATGAACGAGCGGAAGTGCGTGGGGGAGGCCTACAGCCTCCTCGGCGAGTACGGGGACCTGCTGTACGGGCCCGAGCAGGTGCGTGCGGGCAGGCCTGGCCGGTCGCTCGGGGCTGGGCGGGAGGCGGCCTGCGGGCCCGGCAGCGCGGCATTTGCCGCCCCCTCAGCTCCTGCCTGCCGCACCCCGCGGGCTGGCAGCGCGAGCGCCGGCGGGGCGGGCAGAGCCGCGCCGTGAGGCCTCCTCGCTCGTTCTGTATGCAGAAACCCCTGTTTGTTCACCACGCACACGATATGCCGGTTTCCGTAGGCAAACCCCCACGCCGCCCCTCGGGTTAGCTGGAGAAAAGGCCCTTGCCCATCGCTTCCAGGCCCCTTGCTGGCAGTTTTTACGTTGCGGGTACTGTTGCTCGCTACTCACCAAACAAGTGACGTGCCTTGTGTGAAGTTTTCAGATCATGAGGAGCGGCTGTCGGGAAGCGAGAGGGAGGAGGACGAGGACGATGTTGAGGCTGCCCTGAAGAAGGAGGTCGGCCAGATCCGCGCCTCGACAGAGCAGAAGCTGCGGCGGTTCCAGTCGGTGGAGAGTGGTGCCAACAACGTGGTCTTCATCAGAACCCGGGGCATAGGTGGGACACCTGCTGATGCTGCATAGTGCTGTGGGGATAAGCTGCTTTGAACGGTGCTAGTAATAGGTCACAGAGTGTGACTTCCAAGACACTTGTGTATACCAAACAAGCACAGGGTTTCCTCTTCCTTTTGGCATTGCCACTGAATTTTGTCAGTAGCAAAGTTGCTGAAGGTAGAGGAATCTGCTCTGGCAAAATAATCTTTGATTATCCAGTTTTAGTATAGTAAAACAACTCTTTACAGAAAAGGATTTGATGCTGACATCAGTGCAGCCAAGTGTGCATTTCCCTAGCTTATTATTTAGAGGGGGGGAAGAAGGGAGAAAATGTCTTCAATTTGTCATACCTAGCTGTTTTTCTTGTAGAACCTGAGAACCTGGTGCACCATATATTAAAGGATATGCATGCCACTAAAAAGAAGAAAACAAGAGTCATTCTGCGCATGCTACCCATTTCTGGAACTTGCAAGGCTTTTATGGAAGATATGAAAAAATACACAGAAACGTTTTTTGAGCCTTGGTTTAAAGCCCCTAATAAGGGTACTTTTCAGATTGTTTACAAAGCTCGTAATAACAGTCATATGAGTAGGGAAGAAGTAATTAAGGAATTGGCAGGTATGTATGAATTTCATACAAAACTAAGAACAAGTATAGAAACAGCCCACAACTGCATGCATAACAGGTCTGATTATTAAAAGTGATCTTAATGGGGGTTACATATTTGTTGCTTAAAAATCTGTATGTTAAATTACAAAAGCTTCTTTAAGATTTAGAAAAGCTTGACATCAGTATTCCTTGTTGGTGTTGATGTCTTTAGAGACAACAAGCAGAAGAGAGTACAGTGTCAAATATAATTTGGAGTGTCAGTTACGAGTGCTATGAAACGACTGCTATCAGGCTTTCTCTCTGGATGCTATATTGAAATAATGTGTTACTATTTCCATTGAATATATGACTCATAAAATAGCTCCACCTTATTTGAGTATGTTTCTTGATAATTTCAGTGGGATAGTTTTTCAGTTACTTCAGTCCTACTGTTGGTATGTTCTAAGAGTTCTGCTATTTTAAGCAATTGTAAAACTGAGTGATTGGTTACAACTAAGGAGGATGTTGCCTTCTGTCTCTTAACTTCTGTCCTTTCAGTAGGGCATGCTTATGCTCTGAAACTGTTTTTGCAGTATGTTTTAAACTACATCTTGTTTTACAGGAATTGTGGGCAGCCTCAATCCAGAAAACAAAGTCGATCTTAATAACCCACAATATACAGTTGTGGTAGAAATAATAAAAAACGTCTGTTGCTTGAGTGTGGTGAGAGACTATGTTCTGTTCAGAAAATACAATCTACAGGAGGTGGTGAAGAGCAACAAAGAAGACACACAACAAAACCCATCAAATCTGACAGAAGAACAGAACTTGAAGGTAGTAAAGCCAGAAACTGAAGAAGAGGAGAAGAGCTCAAGAGAAGTAAAACAAGAGAACAAGAATCAAGGTGAAATAGAAGCTGAGCCCAAAGGGAATGATGTGCTGACAGTGTAGAAAATGTGGTAGAAGGGAAAGGTAAACACAGTTGAAACCTATTAAAAAAAGTTGCCCTAGAGTTCTGAAAGGGCATTTTAAAGAGGAGAGTGGGTTTTGTTTTGAAATCTTGTTTTTAAAATCCACATCTGTAAGAATTTTAATGCTCGTTGCAGGTGGAGCTGACATTGCAGCAGATATGAGAGTGCTCAAGGTTGTATCACCTTTCTGGTGAAGCTTCCTGTCATTCTTCTGTGGCTTTGTTCTGCATTGCCTTTATCTAGCACAAAAAGCATGAGTGTATGCATGCATATGTAAATTTAGCCATCCTGACATATATTGACTTTCAATTGTTTCATCTGATGGCTACAGAAAGCAAAAGGCAGTGCAGAATCAGCTTTATCGGGAAGTATTGACAGAAGCAAGAGATCTGAAAGAGACAGTTGATTGCAGAAAGTTTTTAAGGAAGTGATCTGACAACTTGTGTGACTGCAAAACTCAATATGTTTTTCTGTGTGAATAACAGAATGAACCAAAACTGATCATCTTCTGTATGATGGAGGGTTATATATATATATATATATACATATATACACATCGCTCTATAAGGACACGCTGTCTTGAGAGTGAATGGGAAGAACTGCTATGATCAGTATACTTGAATACTATGAGATGATTTAGAACAATGGATTTGACTGTTCTAGAACAGCAGCAGTATAGTGCAGGCATGGCAAATGGTTTTACCAAAAACTACATGTGTGTTTACATTAGCTGTGTATACAGCAGTTACTGGTTTATAGGAAGTGCTGTAGTCACTGAACAGAATCCTTTTGAGTAATTTCCTGCAACTAGCCTTTTGCTGCTCTTTCCAAAGACATTATCCTTGGGGGTGTGTTTTACAAAGTCTTTTTCTGTTTATATTTTTTTCTTGGGTCGCAAAATTTGAATTTCAGTACTGTTTGGAAACTTCTTATGAAAGAAGCTCTCCATTATACTATACTGGCTAAGGGGAATTAAGTTTTAGCCTTACAGCATTCATTTTGTTTCAGATTGAAAGTAATGTGAGTCTTTCTGTTGTCTGTTACAGCAGCTCCTTTGATATCCCAGTGACTTACAAAACCAGTGCAGCTATAACCTGCTTTCCAATAGGGTTTTGAGTATGCTTTCTGTACAGCTGTCTAGCTTTAGTATTTAATTTCTAGCATAAAAGCCTGTGAGTTGCTAATGGGAAAAGACTCAACTTGAACACCACTTGTTACTTGTCTTGGTTTAATGAAAAGGATGTATGCAAGTCTCTCGACAGTGTTTAATTTATATTTTCCTCTCAAAATTGTTTTAGACTTTGGAAAATTAAGACAACTTTTCCCTAGTCCTGTCTCCCTTACCACCCATTTATTAAATCTGCTTTCTTACCTCCATCGGTGTTTTCTTTAAATTCTAAAGCTTTTTTGTGTATGGATTAGAACCAGCAATGTGTAGGTCACACATAGGAAAGAACCATTTGAGACCAGACATGAAAGCCAACTGTGGATGTTTATTGGTGGCTGATGTTAGTCATCACCATTCAAGACAGCCTTCTTATCTTACTAAGGACAAATATAGACTCATGGATGGTTTGTCATTTTTTGTATTTTTTTTCCCTTCTGTTCACTCATTTGTGTGTCTACAGGACCTACAGATCTTCAGGAGAAAGTGCTGAATAGTTACCATCTATTTGCCAAGCCAATGTCTGGCATTTAGATGCAGCCTATGCTGCAGTCTTAAAGATGTCTGCATTATTCTGATTTTTCATAATTTGCACTTACCAAACATTCATTGTTAATACATTAATTCATAAACTTTGAGGCTTTCAAGATTCATACAAGCAGGGTGCTTAATTTGGATGCATGCAAGGTCTATGGCCATTTCTGCGAACTTCATTGCATGCTATCATGATTTCCTCATTAATAAGCCTCTTGTGAGTTAAAGTATCTGGTCTCAAAAAATGAACACACTACACTGCACCTGGTAATCACTTGCTTCTGCTTGTACTGTAATTCTGAAAAGCATTAGGTGGCTGGAAGATGTGTTTGCATATACTTTGCTAAGTAGGCTTGATTTTTGTTAAGCAAGTACACATGCATTTAAAAACCATACGGTTGGAGTTTTTAAACCTTGTGCATTATTACACAATCACTGCCTAATGGGTGAAATATCCTATGTTAGTGCTTACAGTTGTAATAGAAAAGCTCCACTATGAATGAAATTGATAGGGATAGGCTGTTTTAGATCACTTATCAAAACTAAATCTGTCCCCACTCCTTGTTCCTCAGTTCATTCCGTCTGATTTTCCCAGTGACTGTCTTTGGCAGCTGCTGGACAAATTCAATCTGATTCAAAAGAGAAAAAGGTAAAATGAAGAGATTTAATTTATAAATTTTTCTTCAGCACAGCATAGGTCTTCATCCTGTTTAAATAAGAATTGGGTGACTGGGGAGATAACTAATTCGGTAATTTTTCTTGCACGGCACATATCTGGGCATTTTTTGTTTGTTACTGTGTTTGAATTGAGTCTAATCTTTGTTTCTGACCCCCCATGGTTAAAATAGGTGTTTGGGAATTTTTATTTTTTTATTTTGTTTTAATAAACTCGTGTTTACTTGCCTTTCTGGGGTACTTGTATGGAGCAGTGACTTTCTTGACACGATCTTGTAATTCACAGGCCAGTTTCTTTGCATCTTGTGACTTAAAGGAAGGAGACAAGACCACAAAAGCTTTTACCACCTACACAGGGGAAATAAATAAAAAATAGAGCATTAATTAAACTGGAGCAACCTAACGTGTGAGGCAGTTAATTGAGAATACGTGAATATTGCCTGCAGTACAGGCTTGCTGTATCACACCTGCGCAGTGGAACAAAATTTGCTTTTGTTTAAGCAAATTTACAAATATGATGAAAGACTTTCTACCTTACATTAGTAAAGGTCTTAAGTAATACATGATAAAAGTTTCAAACTCTGCTTCTGAATTTGTAATTTTGCAAAGGACTGTTTAAAAGTTCTTAGATGCTAGGGCCTTTTCTGTAAACATACGTTGTTAAAGTAAAGAATATGATTCTTCAGGCAGCAGGTCAAAGCGTACATCACTTCTTACCAGAGTCACCTTTATATTCAGTGTCATGTTCTTTAGGAAACTAAGGGTTATACTTTCATTTAAAAAAAAAAAAAAAGGAATATGGGATACACAAACTACTCCCCTTGCTTTGGGTAAAGTAATTGAAAAGTTTGTATAGCTACATTAAGTCTTAGGAATCAGTGGAAGTTGAGCGTAGGCTCTGTCACAAAGGCACTGTAGGAGAGTGACCCCTAATTACCTCCCCTCGGGTGGGGTCTGGGCTGCTGACCACCGCTGACTCCATGATGGCTGGGTGCTGTAGCAGAGCACTCTCTATTTCAAACGGTCCAATACGATACCTGGGAGAGAGAAATTAAATGCTTAGTAAGTGAGAAGTATATGGTTAATTTTATAGACATTTTTTGCTATTTTAACTGAAATCTACAAACCCAGAGGAGATTATGACGTCATCAGATCTCCCCATAAACCATATGTATCCATCCTCATCCATGCTCCCTCTGTCTCCAGTGATATAGAAGTTCCCACGGGCTGTAGAAGCAGTTTTCACTGGATCATCCTGTTGAACAAGCAACAATTAAATATTCTAAATATTGAGAAGCCTTAAGCTTATAGATGAGTTTTGCCTATTTGGACACTACCCATAGTATCTTTCACTGCTTGTTTTCTGTCTCAAGAATGTAAGAGCTTGTGCTTGCTTCTTCCCGAGGGGAAAACATGACAAAGGCAGATAGAGAACTGAGGATCACACAAGAGGTCTGGGGGAGAATGGAGGAGAGAATGGATTTCTAAGTCAGAACACCATCAAGTCAGGAGCTACAGCTCTTTGGTGTTGCACCTGCTCCTGTTGGATAAATACATACCATGCTGCAGGCCTGAACTGGCTCTCCAGAAATTCACTTTTGGCTTACCAGGTATTGAGTGAAAAAAGTAAATGGCCGCTTGGTATCTATTTTGATACCAATGTCTCCTTCTTTTCCAGGAGGCAGAACACTGCCATTTTCATCTATAATCTGCAATAGAAAAGGCAAATGGGTGATTCCGACTTCCCACTTTGAAAGCCATGTTCTAAAGCTAACCAGCCGCCAACAGATGACCCAAAAAAGCCTACCCTGAATACCACTGTATGGCACCAAAACTTGTACGGTATGTTGTGGTTTACTTCTTATGAAATCAACAGCAAACAGAAAAGGGGACCACCATACCTGAACATCGTAAGGAGGAGCTGCCTTTCCCATGGAACCTGGCTTAATTTTCATTCCTTTCATATGTGCACATACCATTCCCTGTTGGAAAAGAGAAACAACCAGCCCAGGTATTTTCCACTGTCATTCCTGAGGCAGTTCCTGTTCTTGTACTATGTCCACTGTTGAGCTAGCATAAGATATAATATGTGAGCAAAAACATCAGTGAACTTCACTGAGAGTCTTGGAGAAAAAGTTCAAGGTATTTTACAGCTTAAGTAGTCTTAGAACTAGTATCATAATCAAGCTGTAATCCTAAGCAAACAACCCTCTTGTAGGCAATTGTCACGTATTCTAATGCCATCTTTTTCATCAAATATATATGGCCAAGTTCCATATTTACCAAGAATGAGATGTCTCAGTCCCCTAAATGATAGCTGAATTGTAACCCTTTACAAAAATGCTGAACATACAATTTCAGTTTGGCCGTAGCCTTCATAGATAGTCAGGCCTGTTTGGCTTTTCCACTGTGCCATCACTTCTGGGTTGAGTGGTTCTCCTGCAGTCAAACAGTGCTTCAGTTTCTTGAATGCATACCTTCATAGACAGAGGAAATTGCTGAGTATCAGAGGACAGAAGGGGACAAATTCTGCTTTCCCTGACATCTATATGTCCAACCCCATGACTTCAGGACACACTGGACTCTCTTAGCATTAGGGTCAGGGTTGAGAGAAAGGCTTAGAGCTCCAGCTGGAGTGGGGCTGGAAAGGGGCTGCCAAAGCAGTGAGTTGCGAAGATGCACAGGACTGACGGCAGTGCAGCCATGCATGTGCCTTCAGGGGCCAAATACTGGCCTCTCTATTTACTGTGTAATGCCTCAGGGCAAAATTTGCTCTGGGCTGGAGGTACCTGGGCAGTGGATGTTGTCACTGCTCACTGCAGTGCTAAGGAAAAGGCCCTGCCTCCAACACAGAACTTCCACCACTCAGAGTTTAAAGTGTCTGTGAGGGCCCATAGAAGTAATTGTTAAAGAGCCAGGCAATAGCTTGAACTGACACGGCACGGTCACTTCTTAACAGATGCAGGGTACCTGGGGAGGTCATGCTGTACCAGCATGCGGTAGACAGTTGGGGTGCTGCACAGAGTGGTCACCGGATATCTGCACAAGGTCTGACAAATTAGAAAGAAGAGGGTTAAAAAATACTGTTTTGGGAAAAAACTTGGTGCTACCTATTCCCTTCTATTACATACTAGGGCACAAATTACAAGACCTGGTTGTAACCTCACTTATGTGTAAAGCAAAGTAATTGCTGTCACTGTCAGTGTTCAGTAAAGACATTATAGCACCCCAAACATCAGCTGAAGAGGTGATAATGACATTGACTGTGGTAAATCACTGGTGTACCTAATTTGTCCTGATGCTTACTTGAAGCACAAGGACCATCCCTTGGTATGAAACCCTGGCCCTGGAGGCTCAATGTAAGTTTTGCAGGGGACATCAGTAAAGCATCTCACCCCAGGACAAAGTCAGGCAGCTCAAAATGGGGGCACCTAAAATTACAGGTTTCTTCTGAACGTTTTGCCTGTGTCGGTCTTTTGTTTAGCTCCACACTTTCTGAAACAGACTGTCGCAAATCTTTAGACATGCTGCAAGTCCCTCAGCTATACTGACAAAGGGCCTGACATGCAGAGCCAAGTCTCTGTGAGCCCTGACTCAGTTGTGAGTAATGCTGTATTAAAAGATTGTTTTGGACTGGCAAATTTATATATCCTCCTTTACCTGGTACAGAACACAGGACATGAGTACCTTGCTAGAAAAATAAAGATCTCAGATGAGCTTCTGTTTTCTGACACATCTTTATTTCTCACCCATAACACCAGCAGATGATAGATGGTTCACAGTCACTTGGGTAGAGCTAAGCCTTATCAGCCTTTCATTTTTGGTTTGGTGTTTTTTTTTGTTTGTTTTTTTTTTTTTTTTTGGTTTGGTTTGGCTTGGGTTTTTTTTAACCTTACTTCTGCCTGCAATGAAAATTTGCTCAGAGAGGGGGACAGGTAGCAATAAATAAAAACAAAGGGAAGGCCTCTCATTCACCACTTCAGCCACACCATGGGTAAAGCAGCCTTTACTATCAAACTTTATTTTGTGCAGAGATGTGAAATCCCATGCACATTGCAAGCAGGTGTTTGCAAGGACAAGAAATTTTTACACCACCACCACCACCCCCCCCCCTCCCCAAACTAGCAACTACCATTTTAGAAAGGAAATGAAGCAGGATTAAAATCCTCAAATAAACCCCACATGTTAGGAATGTACACATAGGTGCTTTGAGCCACTTGGGAACAGCACTCTTCCCTTTGTGTTAGATTAAAACTCAGATTGGCTTGAGAAGCTTGAAAACAATTTCTTTTAAGAACAAGCCAATCTCACAGCTTCAGTGTTTTCCAGTACTGACTTGCCTTTCTTAAGGGTCACAGCAGTGTATTTAAAATATTAATTTACATATAATTCTGCTCATTTATCATTTCAATAGTGAAATACAGTAGGGGATAGGTTTAAGTAATACCAGTAACTCCTACTGATAAGAAGAAGCTGGTAATATCCTGTGCCCAAAAGAGCCATGCAGCAAAATCCTTCCCGTATTATATTCCTATTCAAAGGACAATCACCTTATGGTTACGCCATCTTAAAACAGCTAATCCCATAAACCTAAGAGGCTTAGTTTTGTGGCCTCCCTAGAAAACAACATGAAATATGAGTAATAGTTCATTGTGAGCATGGTGTTCTTACATTTAAGATTGCTCTTGGATCAAACTGTGGCATGGCATGTACGAAAACACATGTGCCCTGGAACCACGGACCAAAAATACTCCCAACAGCTGCCTTTGCCCAAGCAGTGTCTGACGTGTTCCACATGATGTCAGAGGGAGTCAAATTCATCCAGTATCTGTTGAAGACAAAGGTGACCAATATAAGGGAATCTGCAAGTAGAAATTAAGAATGTGAGGGGGTTTTTGGTTTGGTTTTGGTGTTTTTTTTTGTTTGTTTGTTTGGTTGTTTTTTTTTTGCTTAGAAAGTCATGGTAAATTTGATTTGAAAGTCAAGTGCTCAAATAAATGCCTTTTGCCTGGCCTTTATACTGATGGCAAAGATAAAGAAAATTGAAGGATATCCTAACTCATTATGTAGCCTGCATTAACAGGCAAGTAGTTTCTAAAATGGAGCCGTATACAATATTGAACAAGATCTTTGATTCCTGGCTACAATTCAGTTGAGGAGAACAAAATAAATGACATGAACAATATTGTGGGAGCCTCAGCATTCTAATTTTATCACATAGAAAAACTCTTCTGTTTGCTTCACATTTCAGAGCTGTAAAGTCATAATTAGCGGAATACTTTACCTTCCACAGAGAAAAAAACCCAGACCAAGGCTTCCATAGGAATGTTCAGCCATTTTGGGAGCCCCTGTGGTGCCACTGGTAAAATAGATTGCCATTGGATCCTGGCTTTTTGTCTTCATGCAGTTATGGACACCAGGGGCAGCCCTTAAAAAAAAAGAAAGGTTATATGAAACAGTGGCTGGTGTTATTCAGCACACTTAGCTTGGATCCTTTGTGCCCAATATACGCAGGACTGTTTGTATAGTGAGATGTGAGGGATAAGAAACTACTGAGATCCCCTCACTCTTGCACTGCTAGTTCTGTATTAAAGTGTTGCTGATCTTGCTCTTTAACTATTCTCCATGTCCACTTTCTCCAGAGTAAAAGTGCCACCTACCTCTCTTTTATTTGCCTCCTTTAACAACCAACAAAAGGCCCAGCATCTTGTGTTTGACCAAACTGCCCTCCAGAAAGCCTATCTTCCAGCCTTGATGTGATTAGCTGAGGGAGGACCTGCCATTTCTTTTGGTAGGTGGTCTCACTATTTAATTATCCTTGACAGGTTTGAGAAGTATGGGGAGGCTTAAACTCTTGGTCATCTGGCACATGACTGGGAAATATTCTCATCTCTTACTGGGATGAGAAAGCAAAACTGTTTCTGCCAGGACTGATGTTCAAAAGGTTTTGCTTGGCACCCAAACATAGCCCATGCCTGCAAGGTTGGGTGTGGGAAGTGTGTCTCCGCAGGCCAGCCGTCTCCCTGTGCTGGTTGGCAAGCAGACAGGCTGCCTGGGAGCCCTCTCTCTGAGCCCTGCAGCCTCCTGGCCAGCTTAGCAGTCTGCTAAGGCAGCCGAGGATGTGGGGAGCTGGGAAGCCTGGGCAATGAGCCTGCTAGGTAGGCAGGCTGCCAGTGATCTGAGGGGACAGTGAGCCAGGCAGGACAGGAGCCCAGCACTCTGGGAAGACTGGGAGGCTGACAGCTGAGCAACCCTGGAGCCAGCCAGCCAGCACTTTGCAAGGCAGCAGTCTGGGGAAACCAGATAGCCTACCTGCCTGGCCGCTAGTGACAGCTTCTGCAGGACTGACACAGTTCCAGACAATATTTAGCTTTTATCAAATCAGTTTTACCCTCTGCCATGGAACTGAGCCATAGAATATTAGCCCAGCATGAAAGAGGATTCATCAAATTGACTTGACAATAGTTTTGTAGCTCTGGGAGGTTTGAGAATGCAGTGTTACTGCTTCCTCTGTCTTCCAGCTTAGTGACACTGAAGTGGGCAATTGTGTGAAGGAGGAGTTGGAAATACAGTGAGACTGTACAGTGAGCTGCACAGATAATGCTAGTTCAGATACTTGTGGTTGTGAGAACACATGGTACATCTTATAAAGGTCTTAAAATGACTGAAGAGCTTGGATCCCACTTTGAAAGCATAGTTTTAGCTGCATAGATGCTTTTAACAAAATATCAGCTGGTAAAATCACATCTAGGGCCTTGAGCAGATTGCAGCAGGGTATTTGCTTCTCTTCCCCACTCTGCCTCTCCACCTCTTTTGCAGTCCCATGCACTGCAGAGAAGAGCTCTCTGTTGGGTGCCATTTTAGTAGCTGCTTCAGCAGTGAGGCAGGTAGATTCCTAAACATACTAAGTTTATTTTACAGTACCATTTTTTAGCCTTTTATAGTGAAAAGCTACTCAATAGCCTTATTACCACATTAGCCTTATTATCATCAATTTTTAGGAATATGGATTGGAATAATTTGTGTAGAATATTTTTCTTTGAGCTTTAGAGGGTAAGTAGGCCATAGCTGATAATAAGAGGCTTTCCTGTCCATTTGTCCATATTATTTCACAGTCATATATAACAAACCTAGACATCATAAAACTGTACTTATTTTTTAATGAGCAGTTTGGCTAGTGCCAAATGTTCTCTTCATAGAAAAGAGATAAAATTGCCTTCTTTCCCACCCCCTCAAAGGTATGTAGTTCATCAGCGAGACACAAGTTCACAAGTATGTTTAAACAACATGAGAAGTTTTCCACTAGAGATAACTATGGTGGAGTTCAGGTAGAAGGCACTTACTTGAGCAAATCACTGAGCTTCAGCCACCCAGCCCTGCTGCTTTCAGATACAATTAGCTTAGTTTTCAGAAACGGGCACTTGGATGCAACTGAGTCCACTGCAGGAACAAGCACATCAGTTGTAATAATGCCCTTAGCCTTGGAAGCCAGCAATCTATAGCAAATGTCTTGTGCTGTCAGTTGTGTTGTCCCTGGGATGATGATAACACCTGAAAGTGCAATAAAATTGGAAATTTGTTAGGTATTGTTCACTTTCAGTCCTGATCACTTCATAGCTTCTACTGATTTGTTGAATACCAGCACCATTCAATCCAGAAATTAGAAGAAGGTAAAACAAGTCCCACACACCTACCTGAATTTAAATACAGATTAGCTGTTCTGAAGTACAAAATAGCTTCTGTTTCTATAAAATCCTTTGTTCCAAGCACAGTTTACGCAGAAAGTATAACTTTGGGGCAGTAAACACTAGCAGCTTTAACTTAAGTCTGCTGAAGTTAAATCAAATTGATTTAACACAATCAACAGAAGCCACAGAAAGTGAAAGCAAAATGATGAAGGTAATTCTATCGGTCACAAGAGACTACCCCTGTCAGCCCCTTTGACGGTCAAATGTTCAAGCTACAAAGTCAAATAAGAAATGTAATTGTTAAATGAATTGTTAACCAACTTTTGGCACAGAAGGCAACAAAAAATCTACAGACCATTAAGAGTGATACAATTCACCTGTTCGCATACAAGCCACGTACAGCAGCCACCACTCTGGGATTCGGGGTAGAATCACTAAAACTCGGTCTCCTCTTTGCAGGCTGCACGGCCCGGAGAGCACATTGGCAGCTTTTTGGGACAGGAAGCTCAGCTCTTCAAAGCTCCATTTAATTTCATCTCCTTTTCCATTTATCCACCACAGAGCGGGATTTGATGGTCCTTTTTGTTCCTATACACAAATGGCATGCTGGTTATTTCTGAGACTCCTGGAGTTCCTTGCAGAGTTTTTGGGATGCTCCAGGGAGTGGAATCTGACAGTGTTACATATTCTAGGACAGGGATATTAAGCATGTTTTGTTTAAAAGAGCCCTTTTCCAAGGCACATGTAAATTGGTGCCTATATCTATCTGATTTGCAATGCTCATTAATTACTTAGAGGCTTTCATGAACCCAGCACTGCACACAGTGCCGAATCAGAGTCACAGAGACAAAGCACCATGTCCCTTCTAATGCTAAAGCAAATTGCCTTTCCTTTCTCTGCAATGTAAGATTATGTTAAAATAGAAATAGGGGAGGAAATTCTAGTGCCACTGAAGCCCGTGATGGTTTTAGACTTGACTTTGGGGATGGGGCACAGTTTCAGTAAAAATATTGAACCTACAGGGTCAGAAATGCTACCTTTTCTATTTGAGACCACTTGTCCAGCACATTGCTTGCAAAATTAAAGTATTCAGGTACTTCCTGTTCACAACGACCGATAGCTTCATAATCTGAGAAATTCAAAGGTGCAACAGTCTTGCAATGCTGGTGGAATAATCTGTGGAGTGTCTGGATGCTCCATGGGGACCGCAGCACTTTAAATGCAAGTAAAATCTTCATGGCACAAAAGCAGATATATGGGGGCTTTTGGAGATGATAACCATTAGAACTATTTTTTAATTATTATTTCCATCCTACAAGAGACAGAAAAATCAATAATAGTAGTATGATGTGCACATTCCCAGATGAGCTGTTGACTTCAAATGGAACAGATTTATACAGAGCAGCAAGTCCACCTCTTCATATCATTTTATCCCACCTCTCCTTATGGGTAAACTAGAGCTCTGCTAATCCTTTTAAGCCTCCTTTTTCACCTGTCCACAGGTTTCTTAGAGAATTCCCCTTGGAGCTGACATTTCCTATTCTGTCCAACCAAAGTAGGGAAGTAGGGGCCTGAAACCATGAGCATCTGGGTGTTTAAAAAAAAAAAATTTAAAATCAAGAACTTCTCAGGACTGGTACCCACTATTCCCATGTTTCAAACACCACAGTAATCTCACCCAGCCCTACAAGGCTGCTAATGGTGAACACATATTTGGTTGCAGGATGGATGCCATTTTCTGTTCCCGTTTTTTGCCTCAGAATCCAGGATATAACCATCACAAACAACTACTCAAAGACCAGTGTAGTCTCTAGCCAGCAGGGGTGAGGGATCTGTGCATTTAGCCTTAATGTTGCTTTTGTTGCTAAAGCAATAACGTTAACGAAGTACGTTTCACATTGCACCATTTTTTCTGCCTTCCTTTTGTCTGAAGAAAAGATTGTGCCCCTTTCTTCCCCTGGAATTTGCCTTGTGTTAGTTGGATAGCAAATACCATGAATAACTCAGAGGTGGTTTTCCACACTCTTTTATTGATTTCTTTACCAGACTAAGGTTTTTGCCACATCTGCATTTGCCCTTAAGTATAAAGAGTTGCATTTGGTTTCACAGAATACCATTTATAGTGGTGTACTACCCTGAAAACACTTTGCAGAAGAGTGAATTAGAGCTGTATGTATGGGAACATGGTGCTCAGGATATATTCACCTTCAGAGACTAAATGATATATATATATAGATGGAGGCTTTTTCTTTTTTTTTTTTTTTTTTTTCACATGCTCTGCTTATAACATATTGCTTCTTATCTCTATCCTTAACAGGTCATTAAAAAAAGTCTGATTACAGAACTCACCGTTAATCAGTGAAATCTGTGTAGAATTAGCTGCCATTTTATTTTTCCTTTAGACTTGAGCCAGTGATTGCAGAAGCAGACCTAGAAGATGTTCTTGCAGAAGAAAGCTACTTCTTCAGTCTGCTTGACAGAAAACAGAAAAGTGTAACTGCTCTCTGGTAGTCTACCTTCTGTCAAAAAAAGTGAGAATCATGTGAAGAAAGAGTAATAAAACACAGCATTGTATTTTATATATATATATTTACATTAGCAGATAGCATCTTTCATTTTTGATAAGACTAAGTATTTGAACAAATACTAAATAAAAACTACTTTCTCAGGATGTTTAAATAGGTTGTGCTTACCTGGAGATGCTATCTGTGATCAGGTGAGACTTCTTTCCTCATGTATCTTACCTAGTACTTAATTGGCAAGTATTGTCACCTCCTGGCTCACTCTAGTTCTCTGAGTGGTTGTAACCCTTCATTAGTACACACGTTATGTTCTGTGGTAGGGATTATTTCCCCCTGAGAACACAGATTTCATTTCTCCAAATACCTTCTGAGGAAAGGTACAACCACTGAAAAAGTTGAGAGAAGATGCAAAGAACGCTAACCACGAATGGCTGCATTTCTGGTTCACTGCCTTTGGAGAATAGATAATCCACCATACATTAATATATAACTCTACGGCACCAATGACTTTGGAAATGGCAACAGTGGGGCTTTATTTTCAGATTCTGGAGTTAAACATAGTAAAAGAATTGGTATGATGAAGAAATGAAGATTTTCATAAGCCTGGTGCCAATAAATATCACCTCTAATATCTGATGGACACTTCTGTGGAGAAAATACATGCGGTTTGAACACGGGCCATCAGCTCTGAGGAGAACAATGAAAACTTAAACTACAGAGCCCTTGCTATGAAAGAGGGTGACAAAGGGATGAGATACACAATCAATGCACTGGAAGGCAGCAACATGATACAGGAACTCCACAGCTATTTGATTATGAGACACTTGGTTTAGGTGAATCTACTGCAGTCACAGTACAGTCTGTTAGTATTGCTACCACAGGCAATAAGCCCTGCAAGGGGAAAATATTTTAAACTAAGACTTAGGTAAATAAAGGCTATACATAAGCATACACATAGACTATATAATATATATAGACTGTATATAAATATAGGTATTTAAAAGACATGTAGATGTGACACTTAGGGACTTGGTTTAGTGATGAACTTGGCAGTGTTAGGCTTACAGTTGGATTCAATGATCTTAAAGGTCTTTTCCAACCTAAATGATTCTATGATTCTATACAGAGGCAATAAAGGGTATAATTAAGGATCAGAGTTGGGAAACAGTCAGAGATGCTGCTAGAGACAAGCACAGAGAACAGCCATGGAAGTAATGTACGATGGAGAGACAGAACCAGGCTGTCAGAGCCCACGTGCAGAATCTCTGCAGGTGTCAATGCATGGCAAATCTTCCAGGAAAACCACTGAATTGCACGTGTTAGGGGTATCTGAAAGCTTTCAAGTCACTTTTGCAAACTGAATATAAGATCTGAAATTATTCAGAAGTAAACTATCCAATCTTGCATCAGTGTTTTTGCACAAGTCATGTACAACCTCCCTCTCCCTGTCTTCTGTGTCTCTTTGTGGACTCGGACCCAGTTCCCCCAACCTACTTCTGTAGAGTTCAGTGTTATCAGATGACCTTTCCCAGCTTGGTAGATCACAGATTATATTCTGAAAAAGCAGATACTCAAAGCTAAAGTAATTATAGGCTACCTGTCTCTCATTTGAAAACTTTTTAAAAAAGACATACAGCAGATTGCCTGTAGTGACAGTGTTTACTGATGTTAAGGTGCTCTGAAAAGAGAATTACCCCATTTTTCTGACTGCTATTTAACTGGTTCCACTTCTCCTCTTACCATTTTTCAAGCAAGAATGGGAGCAGGGATAACTATATCTTAAGGTGCCTGGAAGCTCACGTACTCAGTCAGAGAAATTAAAATGGACAGGGCAATGACAACCACATGAAATTCCCAGTGAAATCTGGAGAGAAATCACAGTGCATTGCTCATTTTTTTGAATTTACACTTTGGGAGCACATACAGTGAGATTCAGAGCAAGAATGTTTGGGTCATGGTTTGAGGAACTTCATGCCTCTGTAACAGGGTGAAGTATCTTCCATCTGCTCTCCCCATGTTGCAGATAACTTCCTCCATTCCTCAATTTACATGGCTGTTAAGTGGTTTTTGAGCTGTGTAATACACACACACACATGCGCCATTCTGAACACATGGTGTTTCTCACGTATATACACAGGAGGACATTAACCCCATCTTCAACCCAATGTGGAGAGACTGAAGTGAGTGAGTGAGTTTGCTTGGAAGTTTGCTAGGCAGCCAGGTTTGACCCTTTTCCCATGGTAAAACAGGGTAAATTCATAAGAGCATAAGAGGTTAATTCCTAAACCCAGGGGATTTACGGGAACTCTAGTGACATCCCCCTGGCTGCCTGCACCATGTAAATACATTTTGAGATACACAACACAGCTGCTACTGTTTGGAAATTCACCGTTATTCAGTGCAATAATGATGGGCAATATACACACAGATAGGTCACCCTAATTTGTTCTCTAAGTCCTAGAACAAACACATAAAAAGTATGACAAACCCCAAACAGTGAGAGTACTATAGCAGTCTTGCACCAGCATACATGAAAAAAAAATATTGACCTGTGATTTTTATGGTAGTAGCAATGAAATCCAGAGAAGTTTCTCATTTGCTCATGAGAATGTAACTATCTGCTCCCAGAAAGTAGAATTCAGAGCAGCTGTTGATGTGAATGTAGTAGAGAACCACCTGAGGCAGATGATGGTGTTCCTCTCTGGCATGTCTGTTGCTTACTTCAAGTACAACACTTTGGATGGGAGGCCACCTAAAGACTTTCTCTGTGGAATGAATCTTCAAATAACTGATTAATAAAAAAACTCAAACCACCTCCTTTCAGTTACTTTTGTAATTTCCTTTTAAAAATATATGGCTCTCAGCATGAAAATACTCCAGAGAGTGGGGTTTATTTTTCATTTGAGGTCTAATTCTGCTCCTAAAGAGATAAATTTTCAACTATCCCCTGGTTTCAGTAGTGCAAGCTTAGATCCATTTAGATTGATGTAATCTACACGGATGCAGCATTTTGTGCATTTATTTTTGACCTCAGGCAATTACGTGCTTTGTAGCTGGAAAGCAAAGCAATATCCATTTCAGAGCTTAAGGGTGTGAAAGAGGCAAGATCCACCTGCAGGTCCCTCCTGGCACAGCCTTTCCTGGGACTTCGGTTTGTTTGCCAGTTAATAACTCAATTAGTTGTCCTGAAAGGTCATCAACAGCTATATTACACAGCATGTTTGCTATTTTCCCAGGCTCTTGGTACAACAGCAGACGTGCTCATGGGTACTGCATAGTGGGCTTACAGCAAAACCAGGAAATTTTGAGATAAATAACCCTGGGCTTTTTTTGGTTCACTGGTGTTTTTGTGCTCCCAGTAAATACAGCCTTGGTCATAAAGTTCAATTACTACTTATATCTTCTGAAGCAAGAATAAAGAGTACACAGGCTGTGCTGTAGCAGCACTGTGTGAGGTGCAAATGCTACAGGGGGGTAACAAGAAATGTGAGATGTGACCTAACAGGGATGATCTAAACCTCTGTGCACCCAGACCCACGTAACTGTGCTTGACTGTTATGGAAATATCTCACAGTCTGAACTGACTACTCAGCCCAGGAAATCCTTGATTATATTTAATCCTGAAACTATATGTGACCCAGCACTGGCTAAGGCTGGAAGTCTGATCATCAACAACTGTTAAGACACATTCTCACAAAATAATATTTGACACATAATTGCATACTTTGTGGCTTTCAGTAATAACAATGCATATACAAAAATAAGGGCAAAAGCTAAAGGCAAATCTGATTTCCCTTATTTTACTGCTATTTTCAAAACAGTTTCTCCCACATACATTTAAAATCATACGGAATATATTGCTTTAGAAATACCCTAAAGCACCAGAACAAAAATTGGTATCTTCTACTCTTACTCAGAAGGTTGTCCAGCACCTCTTAAGATGTGTGGGGAACCGGATGACAGAAGGCAGAAAAGCAGTCCAGGATGAGCATGTCCCGGTCAAGAGTGCAGCAGCAAAGCTAAGCTCTTCCCCACTCTTTGTTCCTTAGTTTCTTCCTTTGGATTTTCCCAGAGGTCATCTTTGGTAGTTGTTGAACAAACTCCAACTCATCTGTAAACAGAAATAACAACAATACTTAGCAGTTTGACACAGCTTCATTCCAATCTGTGTTTCTTTTTTGTGGCAAGCCTGCAATTTCAAAAGCTACAGGCTCTTTTGAGGATGAAGAGGCAGGCAGCACATCAGTCTCAGTGCCCAGTTACAGTTTAGAGAAACAGAGCTCATCAGTTGGGTGACTCAGTAATTCCTCAAATCAGTAGTGCAGGACAGTCACACACCACCGAATTTGAGCACAACTTGGACTTCAAAGGGAGCAACTAAGAGCCTTAATTTGATAGTCTGAAACCCTGTCCAGTGAGGTAGAGCTAGGACTCCTGCCCACACACCAAACAGGAATGTTTTGATTCACCTGTTTGTTTCTTCATTTTTTTCCTGGCCAGGTTCAGGTTTTGTACCATTATGAAACTGCACTACCATGTTGGTGAGCCTGACTGACCCAACATATGGACTGAGAAGTCTGTGACTGCAGCAGAGAGTAAACCTCCTGAGCGAGACCTTCCCTGCTGTAACGAGCAATTTACACCACTATAACAGGGTTCAGGGGAAAATCTAGCCAGATCTGTTTAACGCCCAACATAGACCAGTACCAAAACCCAAGAATCTGTTCCAGGATTGTATTTTTAAGATTGCTTTAAAAACAATTATTTCCCAAGGTCATAATTAGATTATTTTAAAACATTATTACTTATATAGAATAAATAGAATACTTGAACAGTCTGATCACTTCAGACAAAGTAGATTACCTTGCCAAAAAGTACTTCCATTTGAAATCTGAATATGCTTAAAAAGAATCAGATTCTGAAGTTGTGACCAGATTACATTTTTCATGTTTTTATGATTGCACTTAAAAATCGAACACTATTTCTAGTTATATTGCTTCAAAAATGGGATTACATTTAAAATATCCAACATGTTTTCCCCCTGTTCTGATTGAATCAAGGAAATAAAAATAAATCTCCCAGAACAAAGCTGTTACTCAGGAAAAGGGAAGGTCAATTTAAAACTCTGCATCATGTTTGTTGGAACCCTGTGCAGAAGCTGAGGGAAGTCAAAGACCAACAGTGAAGTCTTTTCTGAAGACTTTTGGTGGGACCTGGTGCATCATTGCTTACCCAGGTGGGGCTTATCCTGCTACTCCTGATGAACTATTCATGTTTAATTCTGAATATGGATTCCCTGAGGTTGTTTTCAATCATTCTAGATACTCTGCTAGTGGAGTTTGATTCCTGCCTCACCTGGAAAGGCCATAGTACCGTTTACCTCTGCATACCAGTAATGAGATGTGAAAATCATGCTGAGATTCCCCAAAACCTACCATATCCTTTGAGCCTGATAATCTGCAACCAGTGCAAACTGTCATAACTCTGCTGAGAAACTTGACAGGCTATTGATTGTTGCCAGCTGAGGCTTTCGCCCACGCTATAGTATTTAAGCCCCCTATTATTGTAACATCCATATATTATCCTTCTCTGTTCAGTTAGTCAGAATGTCTAGAAACACATTTAATATTTTATAACTGTATTTAATTTGTAAAATAGGATTCTTTTGTTTAAAATAATTAGGATAAATTTGTGCTCATAGACACAGTTTGATAAGGTGAAGGAACATTTAATTTCCCTGTACATAATCACCGTGAAATCTAATACTGGTTCATATGTAGTTTCAATGTAAGATGACAACATCAGATCCTATCAGGATAGGCCTATGATGTTCAGCTAAGCAGTGTTTACTTATGTAGTCAGGATGGGGGCAGATTTTCAATGTTACATTTCAAAATCTAATTATAAGAGGTTACAGGAGAAAAAAAAAAAAAAAACCAAAACTCTACTATTCCAAAATATAAACTGGTTGTATTTCTAATCTGATTACTAGGTTTGATTAGACGAGTTTTAATTTTAGGGTACATTACCAGGAACTACTTGTATATTCAGAACTCAGTGGTACTTGCCTTTCTTGTGTATTTGTAAGGTGCAGTAAATTTTTTTTTACATGCTGAAGAATTAATTTTTCAGGATCATGAGATGTAAATTCAGGAGACAGAACAAAAGCTTTTACCACCTAAATGAGACAGCTAGGGCAAGGCAACATACAGCAATCACTGACTTGATGAGTAATGTTCAATAGAAAGACTAAGATGAATAACTCAATTTTCTACAATCAAATTTCTTTCAAACCAGTGGAAATATATGTTTCTAAGCCAGATGCTGGACAACTTTCTGGTTTTTATTGCTTGTTGAGCTTCACAAACGGGCCTTAAAACTACTCAGAGTGAGCATAGCAGCATTCCCAGCTGTTGTAGTTTGAGCCCTGAGGGCAACTGAGCACCACGGAGCTGCTCACTGCCCCCTTCCTCCTCAGGAATGGGAAGGAGAAAGTGAAGTAAAAGGCTCGGGGAATCAGGATAAGGACAAGGAGGGGTAACTCACCCATTACCCATTATGGTCATGAGCAAAAGACAGACTCAATAGGAGAAAAAAAAAAAAAAAAAGAGCAACACTTTAATTCAAACACTAACAAAAAGAACACTTAACAGACAGAGTGAGACAGCGAGAAGCATTACCATATTTTAGAAACACTTCCCCAGCTCCTCCCTTCTTCCTGGGCTCATCTCTGCTCCTGCTTTCTCCACCTCTTTCCCCCTAGTAGTGCAGCGGGCAGGGAATGGGGATTACGGTCAGTCCTGCCGCTTCTTCCTCCTCAGAGGGAGGACTTCTCACATTGTCCCCTGTTCCAGTGTGGTCCCCCTCTCACAGCAGGCAGTCCTCCACAAACTTTCTCTGACATGAGCTCCCCGCCATGGGTTGTAGTGTTTCCCAAGCTGCTCTGGCATGGGTCACCCCTATGTGTTGCAGTCCTCCCAGCACTGAACTACAACAGCAGGGGCTGCTTCTTCCCACAGAGTTCTGGCCTCCTTTGGGTATAGTCTCCTCCTCCAGCATGGGGTCCTCCATGGGCTGCAGGTCACCCCCCTCTCCACCATGGATGTTCATGGTAGTGGGGAGGACAACAGCCCTGCCATCTCACCACAAGATACACTGAGGGGGGTGTGTCTCTGCTCTAGTGTACCTCCCCTCCTTCCTCCTCCGTTTCTTCCACTGACCTCAGTATTCACATAGGTGTCCTCCTCATAACTTCTGCTCACAATTCCCAACTCTTCCTCCCAGGTTACCCTTCTTAAGTATGTTATCTTAGAAGCACAGCCACCATTAATGATTGGCTCAGCCGTGGCCAGAGGCAGATCTGACTTGGAGCCAGGGGAGCTTTGAGAAATTCCTCACAGGGTGTCACTACTGTAGCCCCCTACACTGCTACCAAAAACCCCACCACACAAACTCAGCACACCAGCAGACAGGAATTCTTTACTGGTGTCTGGGCAGCCATGTCATGTCGTTGCAGTGTTCAAGAAGAGAGGTAACTTAAGTAGGCCACATTTGCTTAATGGCCTTCCTAAGAAGAATAGTTAGGGGACATTGCTTCAAGGTATAGGATCTCACTGGGATTCAGAGAAGCCATTGCCAGAGTTTCAAATTGTCTTAAGTTCCCATAATTTTTCTGAAATTAAAAGGAAATTAGATGCCCCTTTGTCTCCTCAAATGTATTTGAAATCACCATTCTACATCTTTACAATGTTAATATAAGCCAAAATTTTCCTCACAGACATATCTATTTCTCAACACACACATACATTAGATGTTTTAGGTAGCTCCTAATATCAGTGTCCTTACTTCTCCTCTGAGGGGGTCTGGGCTGCTGACAGCAGCTGTTTCAGCTCCTGCAGGATGCTCTATCAGGGCACTCCCTTTCTACTTCAACCAGTCCAGTGTGATACCTAGACCGGAAATAAGAATTTGGTATTAAGCAGCAGAGCTGGGCAAGTAATTCTGAAATATTTGTTTCAGTGGTAAACCAAATCCAGTGCTTCTGAGATCCATTATTAAGCCTTCACAGCTGTGTGAAAAACCCAGGGTTTTGTAAGCTAAGCATACATCATTGGAGGAAGGCACTTCAAAAGTCACCAGTGAACTGAAAATATTCCCTAAATTTGTTTGACTCCTTACCACACATCTAGCATAAAGACAGAAAGGCCTTGCTGGTTCAATCTGGATGGCAAAGTTGCTGCCTTCTTCTGGGGGCTGAATGTTACCATTTTCATCTACTACCCAAAATGAAAGAAATCTTACTCATGAGTAATTAGGTAATACACTGCTAAATGGAGAACAGTCCTGACATGACCTTATCTTATTTCAGACTGAAATAACCAGAATGCTTTACACCTGAACTTCAAAAGGTGGAACTGCTTTTCCTAATGCACCAGGCTTAATTTGCATCCCCTCGTGAGTTGCATGTATAACACCCTGTAAGAGAAAACTGAGTTTATGGGATTTGTTATTCTATACAAATGGATAATTTTGCAGCTAACTAAATTACCTACAATTCTAGAGGAAATAAAATATGATAAAAACCATGTTTTCTCACTGTGATTTTAAAGTCCACTACTCATTTATCTAATGGTGTAAATTAGCACAACTGAGACAAACCCATACAACAACACCGATCTACATGAGTGAAAGATCCCGCTCAGTGGGAAAACTCCTGTTTTCCAAGTGGTATTTCAGATTTAATCTATTGGGCTTGAAACACTTCTGATTCAGATTTGCTTTAAAGTAATTTGGCTCCATTTACTTCTCAGAAATTTCCTCTGATTTATATCAGTGTGAGTGAAGCAGCAGAGCAGTGTTCTTGGCTACACTATCATTAGTGTCAGCATTCTACTGATATTTCTTGTAGGGGGATGAGCAAGTCCACAAACCTGTATTTATGGGACTTGGGGTTTCTCCCCATCTGAACTACTTATGTGGCACCATGGTCTGGTCTGAGTTAAAAATTTTCTCCAGGGAACTTCTACCCTAGACATTTGTAATGATATTTCCACATAATATACTCTGTATACAAATGATTGCAAACAGTACAAACATTGCAAATAGTGATTTGGTCTGGCTGTAACATTCATAGATACCTAACCCTGTCTTTCTTCTCTACTCTGCCATCATGGCAAGGTGGTTTAACTCCCTCCCACTCGTGCAGTATTGCAGGCTCTTGATTTTGTAACTTCATATATGTTGGGGAAAAAAACCCCAAGAAATACATGCATTAGAATCACTGAAGGAAAGAATACAGTCTGAATCTAGGTTAGAGTAGCATACAAGAAGAAATGGCAATTCTGCAGGTCTCCATGAGGATCCTGGCTTCTGAAATTATTACACTCTGACAGTGCATGATATACTCTGTGTGGGATAGGACTAAGGTGGAAGGCTCCAGCCTGCAATGTGGTTCTGGTGGAATGGATACCTGGTAAGATCATGCTGCAACATCATGCGATCAATACTGGGTGGAAGGAAATGTAGACAGACTCTGAGTGTTAAACAAAAGAGGAGTTCTATTTGCTGTGAACTTGAGGAAAATTCTTGTCATGGGCACTCCAACATGCAAAAATCATAATGGGGTCAAGTGGATGTAGACTGTGAATTTACGTAATTCTCTTTCCATTCATTAACAGGCCTGATGCCGTCAGGAATCTCTCAGGAGTATAACTTCATGTCACCTAGTAGAAAGGGTTTACATTTAGTGTCATTTTGCTGTAAATCATAAGCATGGTAAGGCAAAAAAGACTGTAGAAGTATTTAATCTGTTTAAGGGATGCACACAAAGTCCTCTCTGCTTCCTTCAAACTTCTGTTATTTCATTTGCTAAGAAAATAATGCTTTCTATCCAGAGCTATCCAGTCTGACCACAATAGCAATAATAGATAATGATATTTAAAGAAACTAGCTGTGAATGCCTGGCCTTTTACTCAGCAAATAACCGCACCTCTGCACCTGATTGCCTAGAAAGTACCACAGGAAAACAAATACTGATCTTTTATGAAAGCATCACAAAAGGCTGAGATAAACATTTTTTTTTGGAAATATATCCATATGCTGTACCACCCACTGGAAGTAAGTGTAAATATCTGATTTGAAGAGCCAAAGTGTGTTACCTTCTCCAGTTGAGCCCATTTATCTGAAATGTGTGGCACTCACAGAGGCTTTAAAAAGCAAAGGACTATGGTACTTGCAGCCTCCCTCTCTCAAGGGGAACCTGACTTGAGAGCACAGAGCTCTGCAGAGCATGGGATCCTTGGCAGACAGATCCTCCTGCAGCCAGATTTGACCACAACCTTATTTTGTTCACTTTTTTCCTGGTAGAATTACATTAAACAAACTTCTTGCTCTCATGGGAGATTTAATTTTCTACACTCACTAGAAGCCTGTGAGATTGTGCTTCAAGATAACTTTATTTTGGATTTTAGGACTGTAAAGGAATCCATCAGGAAACAAGCAGCTGCTGGACTCTGTTCCTCTGCCACAGCTGATAGAAGTTGAGATACTGATGGTGAGTTCTGGTCCGCATCTTAAATCTAACACTTGAATTGATGGCTGAACTTGGCAAACTACCCCTTCTCTAATTAATCTTTTCAGTAATGAACCCTTCTCACACAGATACGCTTATATCCATTTCATTTATAAGTTGTGTTCCTATTCTTACGGGGGACTATTAAGATTCAGATCAAATATTAGCATAATAATTGGTTTTACATCAACAATCTGAAAAGCCTTATGAATAACTAAAATCAAACTCACCTAATGTCTGCTCTGGTTTTCATTACAGCTTTATTCCAACCTTTTGTATTGTGGCAAAGGAGATGAAGTTGTAGATCACTTATAAAATGCTCCTGCTCAATGGACTGACTAAATAATGCATGCAAAGTCACAAAAATCACCATCCAGCAAATCTGCAAGACCAAGTTCCAAACGCATCCTGGAAATGTATTAGGGATTTCTAGACATAAAACTAAATATTAACTTTCTTACTAAAGCAAGCAGAGCAATTTTATGTGCCAGAATACGTACACACAATATATATATACACACACACAGTGTATATATGTATACATGCAACATTATGCACGTACTATGAATTTCTACAACTGATTAGTTTCTCATGATGTATTATGGTATCATATATGAAAGGATACTGAATATACTGAATATAATAAATTCTCATTTAATTTACCTCAGAGGGGTTTTTAAAGCAGAAGATGGTGTCTTATGTTCATACGTATTTCAAAATAGCCTACTATTTCAAAATAGTCTTCAGTATAAATACATGTTCTTTGTGCAAGTTAGTAATCTTATACTATGCATAATAACATGCCAAATACTCCCAAACTTGCATTGAGAATTCCACTCCTGGCTTGTGGTTGGAGGACAAGAGACATGCCTTCAAAAGAAGGGGACACCTACACATGGATCTCATCCTATCACCAAAAATGTGGATTTTGAATCTTGCTGCAATAAAACTGCTAGTCCCCTATCTGTAGGAATCCATTTTCAGGACTTGTCCTGCCACTATCCCAAACCAGAAAAAATGTATGTGACCACTATGGAGAAAACATTGAAGGGGAAACACGCTCCCTGTCCCCAGCTGAAACTGAAGATTTCCCTCTACTTTATAAAACTTCAAAAGAAAGAAACAACTTCTCTAAAACAACTATAATCAGTTATTTTACTTGTTTGCTATCCTTAGAATAGCTGTGTTGCCCATTCTAAATGCACATAAAACACCAAAAGAAAGGGCTAATTATCTTCCGAAGCATGAGGCTGAAGTCCAGAGTCTCAAGAACACAACTTCCTCCTTATGACCCATTTCTGTTTCCTTGTCATCCTGATACAAGGGAGAGTAGCATTGTCTTTGCAGACATGAGGCAAAACGTGCAGAGGCACAGGCAGAATTAACACCTGGGTAAGGTTGTTTTGCAACCTCATCATAATGTTGTACTTCTGTAATCCCTATAGAGACCATACATACCAAAGTCACCATGTACCTTCCACAGGCTTTGTATGAGAGGCTAAACTCTCAGGAAATAATGCATTGAAATATATTTAATACAAAATACCTCTTCTGATGCAGGTATTACCTTTTATATCATCTCTGAGAATAACATCAAATTGAAGCTGGGCTGTAAGAGGGATGGAGAAGAGGTCTCAAAGGGAAAGGCTAGTCTGTTGAAAATTATATTTTTACGCCAGAATGATACAGTACAGTCAAGTTTCAAACTTTGTGGCTCCAAAAGAAAGAAATGTGCTAGAGAGATGTATTTGCTTTCAACTGCTTGTAGCTGCAAGTCTGTGTCTCTGAAATTGTTCTGCATGGATCAGAGGAAATGTACTGGTGATTCTCTGATCCAGGGCAGAGGAGGAGAACTATACAAACCATCTACCTTGAACATAAGACAGAAAAGTGTACTGAGTAGCAATAATAGGTTGCTGCAGCATGGAGCAGAGCACCTCATAGACTACAGCTACATGCATAACTAATTAGGCAGTCTGCTTGACTTTGATCCCATACTATTAATGCAAAAAACTGGGTACTAGAGCACAACAGAAACCCAGTTTCTAAGGTAAGCTAAGCAAGGGATCACTGTAGGTGACAGTTCTAGCACTGAAGCCTGAAGCAAATTATTCTAACAAGCCACACTAGAATTTAGAGAGTCAAGTCACGACCCCACTGAAATCAGTGGTAAAACTGTTGTTTTCAGTGCACTAGTTTCATTCAGATCTTTTTTTTAAGGCTCTAAACTTTCCCAACTCTGAATTTAGTTGCTTAATTTTAGGTCCTTAAAAAAAAAAAAAAAAAAAAAAAATCAACCTCACAGTCTTCAGACATTGCTGGAGTTTAACTGCCCAAACAGCTAACTGCAGAGAGAATAGTTTCCAGGGGCTCTGGATTCCAGCTTGTACACTTGTTTATCATTCCACTTTTTGCAGAGTTTTTGTTGTTTTGTCTACTTCCTGTTGGTTTTAAACACTTGTCTGTTTGAAACCAAGAAGAAAGATCCAGAAGATGTAGAGTCCCTGGAAGGCCCAGAAGAACATGGCTCTTAAAGGAAACTGAACTGGGTACAGAAGAGTGCTTGAGGCAGCGACAAGTGACATGTCCAAACAAGTGCATTCAAAAAACTAATTATTAGTGTTATAAACATATAATCTAATGCTCCCAGAAACCTTAGGAGTGAAACAGTGAAAACTCTTCTGAAATCTCTGTGGAATACTAAGGAGCATTACAAAAAATGAAGCTACTGTCAAAAAATAATGAAGTAAACATTGTATTTATTGACAATTGCTTTCATTTCAGCAGTTGCTAGTCCAGTACAGAAAATGTTTCACTGACATAAGAAAAGTGTTTACTCTCAAGAAATAAAATATTTTACTTTCTCAAAATTAGAACGCTCCAAATCCCACTTTACAGCTGCAACAGACACAGAAGTCCAGGCACTGAGACCCAGCTGTAAACCACCTTATTTCCTGCCTAAAGATGCTATTGTTCTCCAGCAATTTACTCTTATTTAATGAACAGAAGAAGACTCCAAGGCTGGAGATGTTTTTGTCAAATAATGAAAACTCATGCCAGAAAATGAAATCTTCTGAGTACAGAAAATTTAAAAAATCTGAGGATAAACAGCTAAGAAGTGATAGAGTCCTAAAGTTTGTCCCACTATTGCATGTGCAAATGTAAGAAGCAAGGTTGTGTACACTACAGTACATGCTTCTTAATAAAGCTAAGAGCTAAATCTTAAACAGAGATGTCATCACTCAGACCAGATCAAGGTTGCTTTTTCAATGATTTCACCTCTAAGCGGCTGCAGAAATAGACTGGTCCTGTAGTGTCTACTATGGCAAAGAACCATGGTCTGTTCTACAAATTGGGTCACCTGCCCAACAGCAAACGTCATTTTAAAGACCATCAGAAGTAGTACAGGAGTTTTGTGTATTGTGGGTGAAGGTCAGAACAGAGGGAGAGCAATGAAGGCAATGAGAAGCTGGCACTGCTTGCCATCAACACAAGTATTAAACACGAAAGATTAATGAAGGTCTTGTGGTGGTCTCAATAAAGGGGAGTCTTTCCATCATCAGTAAATGGTAGCAGGGCTGCATTCAGTTTAAATACACTGCTTTTAAGGACAGAGCATTTGAACCACTCAAATGCATGTCTGCCTTTCCTGCAGCTTGGAGCTAGACAATTGATATCAACAATATCTCTTCAGTGATCTTGGATGCTATTTAAAAGAGATGGGCCACTAGCCAAATTCTGGTGAACCTGTGAACATTCAGGACTAGAATGGAGTTGTTTGTTCCTTTTCCCAGCAATGCTTCAGGAACTGGAACTGTGGTACCGACATTAAAAGCTTTACAAGCAGGTGCAAACATCACATCTTGTTATTATCTATAGTTTTTGATTTTATGCAGTTAACAAAAATAGAACAGAAGGAAGGCAGCTATATCGGAGAAATTTATATAGTGTTAGTAGGATGAAAGAAGTTCTGTTAAATTCCAAACAATGCTACATCCGTCCCCATTCTTTGTTTCTTAATTCATTCCTCTTGATCTTCCCAGTGACTGTCTTTGGCAGCTCTTGGACAAATTCCACCTAAATTAGAAAAAGACAGAAAGCAATGTGCATGTGCTACAGAGTTGGTTTTCCAAGACTGGCTCTCAGCTTATGTGGAGAGCTAAGAGGACTCCCATCAGTAAGAACTGCTCGCCTAAAGGATCAAGAGCAAGCCAAATCAAGGCAGCACATTGTGCCACTTGTGAAATAATTTCTTTGGTTGCCTAGATAGCCAAACATATGTGTAGCTGCCTTCCAGCTAACCAAACTGAATACTGTAACATGAGTATTGTAACAGAAGGATGAATATCTAAGTGGTGTCAGAGGGCAGAGATGAATGACAAAAAGAAGAAAAAAGGGATGTTATTGGCACAAAGTCTTTAATGGTCCTTAAGTTTCTATGAGTTCTGCACAAGTGAACCAAGGCACTCCAAGTACCTCTTTTCCTGAAGTGCCAGGATTACTGAGAAACACCTAGTGTATCCTCTTGGGCTTTCCTCTTATTTATTAACTGTAAGGACCAGTAGATAAAAACTTATTAATATTCAATTAGGCACTACCCTAAAGTCACTGGAGAGTGCCTCGTTGAAGATTAAATACGAAATGGAGAACTATGATTGTGAGCCTCACTTAGAACATGCAGATCTAACTAGTATATCATATGAAGCCTATACATTCTTGAGAGTTTTAAACAAACGCTTTACTCAAATGCATGAAAAACAATGTAAACTGATATTATTTAGGGAAGATTTTCTGGAGCCACTGCTGTAGATGAACCTTTACCACCATCTCTTTCAGGTGAATTGTGAAAATCCAAATAGTAATTCTTCTGAGATTTATGGAAGGGTGCCCTGGTTTAAGGTTTCTCCTTAGAAGCATTTACCTTTCTAGGGTACTTATATGGAGCAGTAGTTCTCTTGACATGTTCCTGCAGGTCATGGATTAAGCTCTCCAGGTCACTGGATGAAAAGGTCGGGGTCAGTACCACAAATGCTTTCACAACCTGTGAGGTAAGGTCAACAAAAGTGATCTGACATCCATTCTTAAGAGCTGATATACAGGTTACCAGTGAACAGTACTGCTCAGTCACGACGTGCAAAAGGGAGGAACAGAGAAACCAGCACAACATAAGAAATGGTTGTGACCATGTGTGTGCAGAAGGGAAAGTTGGAAGCACAGTTTTCCTGCCCTCATTACAAAGCAAGAACATTTGCTCTATCCTCTCTGTGGGGGTCAGTAAGACGGAGCAATAAGAGGTGTCTCTGCAGAGTTCTCCCTGAAGCTGTGGGACATTTTGTTTCTCTCTGAAGTTCACAGTGAGGACAGTAGGTCCATATCATCCCACCACAGGACTGTGTTTTCTCCATATGTCTACCCAAGTCTCATGCTAGGGTGATTATTGAATAACTTTGTCTACAGCAAGACAGCCAGAAAAGACCATTTCTGTGTATAGACACATTCTTAACAACAAGGGGAAAGTAAACATGACTGTAATGTTCTCCAGAGAGAAGACCTTCTCAAGATGAAAAGAGACTAAGAAGAGCATAGGCATATAAATGGGAAGGGATTTTGCCTGTCACCCCGAGTAGGATTATCCATGATGTCATGACTGCCTTAGACCAAACATATTGCTTCCCCCCCCACTGTTGAGCTTCATTACCTCTCCTCTGAGGGGATCTGGGCTGCTGACAACAGCTGTTTCTGCTACTGCTGGGTGCTCTATTAGGGCACTCTCTACTTCAAAAGGCCCAATGCGATATCTAGGTAAGGAAAGAAAAATGTAGGATTTGGTTTTATGAGCTAGAAAACCAGTACCAAATTTTTTAAACTGTCATATTGAAGAAATGACAGTTTTTCTGTCTGTGTTAGAAGGTAGGAGCATTTCATGGTGGTCATGTGCTGGGGCTGTGGATACCTCTCCATCTCTCCCCTTTCCTTGTGGCTCGTAAGGTGGAGCTCCATCCCACCCTGATAGCTGGGGTCTGCAGCTCCAGCTGATGCCATGTTATGGTATCACATCATACAATATGAAATTGTTTCATTTCAACATGTTGAAAAGAAAATGTTTCAATGCTCTTTGAGTCCTTCAATTTTAGTCAAAAGCGAAACTAGATTAAAATCCCCCCTCCGGCAATGGAAGTTCACTCTTTGTTGAAACAGATGAGATGTTGCAGGGGAAACAGATACAGAGATGCCACCGACATCACCAAGATGATACTGCAGGTCTATGAAAAGCTAATAATAAAAGCAAATATTCCTAAATCAATAGGTCAATACATTAATCACAAGACTATTATGTCAGAAGCTCACCAGGAACACAACATGTAAGATTATACATGCATACTGACCCTGAAGAAATGATGATGTCATCGTCTCTTCCAATAAACTGAAAATATCCATCTTCATCCATAATCCCTCTGTCTCCAGTGACATAAAAATCCCCACGTTCACATTCTGCAGTTTTCTTAGGGTTATCCTCAAAGTGGTTTACAAACAGTAGTTTAGATTTTGAGCATGCATTAGCTATACATTATGCTATAACACACATAATGTTAAATGCACTAGAACTTAATGTTTCAGTCAAGGATGTTCAAGAATTGTACTGACTTGCTATGAAATACAATAAAATAGGTTTAAAAAACATTTTTGTTCTTTAAAAAAATTTTAACTCAATATTGAGCAAATTCTTCTCTTCCCTTTTCTAACATCCACCAATCCAAACAAATAAATTATTCTGGTAACAAATAATAAACTGGTTCAGCCTTTTGAACCACTATGCAGTTGAAGAGATTTTGGGGAGATTGATGGTGGTGAGAGATAAAATAAAGTCCTTACTACATATCCAGAGAATAAACCAAGTGGTCTTATAGGTTTGCTTCTGACAGCAATTTCCCCCTGTTGTCCAGGAAGCAAAATATTAGCATTTTTGTCTATGATCTAGAATGAAAAACAACACATATTTTAGTCCAATGGGAAAAAGAAAACCAAACCCCAAACCAACCAAACAAAAAACTCATATGAAAGAATCTAAAGAGCAGCCAACAAACCTGAACATCATAAAGGGGAGCTGCCTTCCCCATTGATCCAGGTTTAATCTTCATTCCTTTAAAAACAGAGCAGATTACTCCCTGTAAAAATAAAAATTAAAACAAAGTTTTACAATAGAAAACTGCTACATTCACATTAAATTAATGAAATGCATTTTCTAGAATAATTCCAAAGTAAGGAATTAAGATTCACAGCATCCTATATATCAGTGCTGTATGGTACAGATAAGAAAGAATCCTGTTACATTATCTGCAAAGAATTCACACCCTCTGCCAAACAGTCTTCTTCCTTATATTCAAACTCTGCCCTCTTGCCTATCACTGCCACTTGGAATTTGCTTAAGGACATGTCTGGAAATATTAGAGCACATCTCCTCCCAACAGTCCACGTTTCTGCCAGGTTCTGTGAGGACAGCCATGAAAGGGTGTTCTTTCAGAGGTTACCAGGGAAGGAGATTACTGAAACATTCACAGAAATGGGAAGGAAAAACAGGCTGTGTTCTTTCAAAACAAACCTTAAAACATCTCAAACCAAAAAGGAATTACAAAGATTTAATAAAATGTTGACCCTACAGATATACCGTTTCAGTCTGCCCATACACTTCATAGATGTCCAGCCCAGTCTTGCTTTTCCACTGCTCCATGACTTCTGGGTTGAGTGGCTCCCCTCCACTCATGCAGCACTTCAGGTTCATGAATTTGTATCTTCACAGGGAGTTAAAAAACAAGAAAGGCAGTACTTAAATCTATTGGGCAAGACAAGGAGCATGCAACTATAAACAAATAATTCTAGAGAGCTGTCTACTGGGAGAGTTAGTCCCATGAAGTGGGGAAAACAGAGGATGCCTGGTCCTTTGGCTCCTGATACAGCAAGGATATCAGTCTGTGCTCATCACTATACACGTGAGTAGTAGTAGTCAAACACACATGAAAAATAAAGTAAAATTTTTGCTGAGGTCAGCTGGGATTTAAGGACATATGTAACCACAGAGTGATTTGCTGAACCAGGGCCCTGATTGCTGACCCTCTGCAATGGCCCAAGTGAGAAAATGAAAGGGGAGGAAGGAATGGTGGTAGGCAGTGAGAACTGGAGCAGGGGATGAGGCACAACTGCCAAAGAAAGTTACTCCCTCACAGTTGACACTGACTTTCTAGGATGACAGTCCTTCCTCAAAGCATGGACAATTAATATGGTAATTGAAAATTATGATAACAGATTTAACAGGTGTTCAGTTTCATGCCCTCAAGGATTAGCTCACAAGTTCAGTAATGAAAGTCAAATTTCTGAGGGAAAACATCAAGTTTCTCTATGTTTTATCATAAAACTCAGCAAAACTCAGATTTTGTATGATGGTCTCTTCATGAAGGATGTTTTAAACTAAATTAGTACCCTGTTTTGGGTCAAGCAGCTAGATCTGGGAGATCACTGAAGTTTAGTGAGGGTAAATGAAACATTAGTAAATAATTTTTTTACGTACTTGGAGAGATCATATTGTACCAGCATGCGGAACAACGTTGGAGCACCAACCAGCGTGTCAATGGGGAATCTGCAGAGAGTCTAGTGAGTTAACAACAAGATGGACATATGAAGCTCAAAGAACTGCCTTGTGGATATGCAGTAAACAGGTGATACAGGGGGCAAATGTAGCTCTCCTTTCTATGTAAAAGCACCATACGCTCTCTGTTGGGTAAGAAACCCTCCTACAGATGGTATAATATGCAGAGATTCACAGTATATCTGAGTGGAGAAAATCCTATGCTAACATGTCTACATGACACACAGACTGCACAGCTTGGAGCATGGCAAGAATAAGCCCATCTCTGTCTACATTATAGGGAGGTTTTCACTTTCATCTTGGCCAGTGTGGGCAGAGAAATGCTTCAGTTTCAATCTGCATTAATACCGGCTGATATTAATTCCACAGTCATTAAAACAAAAGGCGAGCAATTAGTGCTGCTTTTGGTTGATTTTCATTCACATGCTCACCAGCTATGAGCAAAATGTATGAATGAACTGCAGGTTTAACCCTGCTGTGTACATTAAAAATGCAAACAGGGGCTTTACACAACTGATACAGTGTCTTGAACGCAGCTACAGACACAACCCTTACGAAATCTATGGATGCTGTTAAGATGTATTTTTTTGTGACCCTTTTGCAGATTAACACATCTCCATGAGTTTTCCCTTACATTTAGGATGACTGCTGATTCAGTCTGTGGTAGCTTATGTATAAAGATGCATGATCCAAAAACCCAGGGATCAAAAACACATGACAGTGAAGCAAGTATCCATCCTGTGTCTGCTGTGCTCCATATTATGCCAGAGGGAGTCAAATCCAACCAGTACCTGAGAGCATAAAAAAATGAACGAAAAGATAGATAATGAAAAAGTTTTGCTTAACCCCGCCCCCCCAACCCAAACCACAAAGAAAGAAAACCAAAAAAAACAACAAGCTCAAGATTTCTGACAAGATACATGGGCACTGGGCACTCTGAATAAGTTTATTTTATAAGCTAGCTCTAGGATAAAATGGCACCTAACTATACGTGTGCATAAATATCTACATACACACACACATAAGTATATTCATACATATATGATGTCAATCAAAACATAGGATAAAGGAAAGAGAGGAGTCTGAATTTCAATAAAGTGACTTTCCACTAGGTAGGAAGATAGGGCTGAAGAATCAGCATTCATGGATGATGTGATGGACACCTGGTATTTCAGTTCTAAGGCTGCTGATGGACCAGTGTGATCTGTGCAACCAACATAAACTCTGCCTCTGCTCATCGGCACATGTCACAAAGCTCTTTTCAGCCCAAACAGCATGGTATCTCTTGGTTCTTTGCATTATAGTATTCTCAGATGATAGCTGTCCTTTGAACCACTCCAAAGAAAGGGTAAGAGATATTAATTGAACAATGGAAACACAGGAGGTGATCCTACTCCCCTAGAAATCAACTGGAGTTCTAGTCCGATTTCAGAGAGAGGAGGACTAGGGCTGTATAATGGTACTTCTTGTTCAGTAATTTTTCATCAGTTCTACTATGCAGCTTCAATTATCCCATGTTCCACCAGGCTCAAACTGTTCATACCTTTCACTTAAAAGGGGTCTGAAACCAAGACTACCCTGAGAATGTTCAGTCATCTTTGGAGAACCTGTGGTTCCACTGGTGAAGAAGATACTCATTGAGTCTTGAATCCTTGTTTTGACACAGGAATGGTCATCAGATTCGCTTCTTTAAAACAGAGAATGCATTTGTGACTCTAATGGTTACTTTATACAGGGTTCAGAATGAAGCAATGAAGTATTGCATATTGAAGAACTCATACCCCAGACAAGCTTCACAGATGCAATTCACCAAATTCGACTAAAATAACGTGGAGTTATGCTTCTTCAAAGACAGACTTCCCCTTAAGAACACAACAGAAACTTCCCAGAACAAGACCACTATTAGCAAACAACTCTAATGAGGATCATGAATCAAGCAGTCATGATTAACACCTCTGTGTTGGCATCTGATGAGTATTTGTAGTCAATGAATACTTGTAAATGAGCACTTGTGGAGAACAGGTCTGCTTTCTGCATCATGACTGCAGTGTTGTTAACTCATACTCACTTGTACAGGTCAGTGAAGTTCAGCCATCCCTCCCTACTGCCTTTGGACACGATTAGCTTGGTTTTCAGAAATGGACACTCAGATGCCACTGAGTCCACGGCAGGAGCCAGTGTGTCATCAGTGATGATGCATGTGGCCTTTGATGCCTGGAGTCGATATAATATGTCTTTGGCTGATAATTGGGATATTCCTGGAATTAAGACAATTCCTGGAGGAGCAATAAAATTAATTTGGGATGGCATTTTTTACATCTGATTCTTTTCTAAGAACCTAAACTATTAATAACTATTCCCAAACTGACCTCTGAGATGAATGTGTCCTGGCACTCCCAAGCCAAACAGTTATAGTAGAGCAATGTAGCTGCTTGTGCTTTCCCATAAGGAATGAAATGTGGACCTGTCTGGTGACTTCCATGGCTCTTCCCTGCCTTCTGTCATCTCCATGCCTGCTGCACAGGCCCCCTGTCCTATGGCATCTAGTGCAAATCCTTCAGGACAGCCTGCTTAATTGGTAGCTAGGCCATTCACTAGATTATTGCATTACTTCTCCTTCCTTTATAAGCCATATAAAATCTCGATCCTCTCAATTGATTTGCATTAACCAGTTTTACCAGTCTCAGATATGCTCACTGACCTGCTCGCATGCAAGCCACATACACTAGCCACCATTCTGGGACTCGTGGCAGGATCACAACAATTCTGTCCCCCTTCTGCAGTCCACATACTTTAGTCAGCACATTGGCCGCTTTCCGAGACAGGAACCCCAGCTCCTCAAAGCTCCACTTCACTTCTTCTCCTTTTCCATTTATCCACCAAAAGGCAGGGTTTGATGATCTGTTTCCAGCCTACAAAACACAGGGATTCAAAACCAAAGCATTTTCTTCTGAAAGACCATGAAATTGTAATGCACAAATACCTGCAAATTATGGAAGATGTGAGTATTTCACAACTGGAATATAAGCTACTATCTTTCCCTTGTCCTTAATAGATAGAGATTTGCTATGGATCAAGCTCAGGTATTACCAATAAATTATCTTTTCCTGAACCTCAAATGTATACCAGCCCAATTGTCTCCAGACTCAAGTCCTAGTCTGGATCCTATTTCAGTTTAAGCCTTATGCTGAGTATTAATGCTCCTACAAAATAACAGATAATGTGAAATACTTCACTTAATACTTCTTATATTCTGGATGGAGTTGTGAGTTGTGGAATACTATTAAACAAAAGCAGCACAGCCAGAGGACAAAATAAAACAAAAGGACAATACAGTATCCCAGGACTTTTTCTAGTCTGATTGCTAAAGAAGAGGGGAGTTAAGTGGTCTTTAACTATAGGGCACTTGGAAAAATGCAGAATCCACTTTGGAGCAAGACAATCACACATTTGTGGCAGAATTTTCCCTAGCACGCAATGTTATTTTTATGTTAACTGTATTTTTATGATGTGAATATCTAATATTATAGCATGCAGAAGGAATAAGCACAGCCATTCTTAGGTTAAATCAAAGTTGAAAGGGACTTACCATTGCTTTTTCTACCTACTTAGGGAGCACCAAGGATCAGAGACACTTTTAAAATGAAGCAAGAAAAAATGAGATTTTGTATAATTTCCTAATGCAAATTGGTTTTAGCAACTGATTTTTTTTGATAAAGTCCCAGCTTATTACAAATGAAATTTCAAATTAAAATATCTCATGTGCACTACAAAAGATCATCTACCTTTTCAATCTCAGACCATTTGTCCAGAACATCACTTGCAAAGTTAAAGTACTCTGGTATTTCCTGTTTGCCCCGCCTGATGGACTCGTACTGTGAATATACATCAGAGGCAAGCAGCCTGGAATGTCCATGGAAAGTCCAAACAGGAGGCTTCAGAATCCACAAAGATTTTAGAGTCCGTAATTTAAACAACAGATTCATGGCAGAAGATGATGTGCATAGATGCTGTAGATTATATAAGAAAATTGGCAGAATTGTTGCTATGAATCCTGCAAAAAACAACAAAAAAATAAAAATAAAATAATCTTGAGATTATCCAAAGACAATTCAGTTGTGAGTTGGTGAGTTATCAGTTGAAGTCACTTAGGCTAGTCACAGCCAAACGGATGTTTTTAACAGTTCAATTAAATGTGAAGTTCCCCATCCTGCTTTCTTGTATTTTTTACCACCAGCTTTTTAAGGACTTACTGTACTGTTCTGGCATCTTGTCTGTAGCTCAGCTGATTAGAGATTCTTGATGTGTTCTTTGGGCCTGCTAATTGCTCATAACTCTCCTTAGTCAAACACAACATCAGATGTTATTCTTCGCGTTTTGAGGTTACTGGTTCTCACACCAAAGCATTCAGTAGTTGATTCTCTATTCCTTCTCCTTCACATAGAGCTGAAGGATGTTTCCAGACTGCTTTCATCAAGATTCTTACTGATTTAGCTTGAACAGTTGCTGACTGATGTATCCATTCACCACATATATCCCAAGAACCTTCACTTCAGTAATCCCTTACGTAGGTCCCCAAATTTGATTTACACACTTCTACATTTGCTTGCTGTAAATGCTCTCTTCCATCTGTACTCAACATAATGATCCTAAAAGCTCTCAAGTCCAATTACTTTCTTCCTCTCCATTGCTACTCTTATTTTTTTCTCTCTTTTTTCTTTTTCTTCTTCTTATTATTAGCAGTCTAGGTTCTTTTATAACTGTTCTCCACTCTAAAAATTTTAGTGCTATTTAGAGGCTACTCATAAATGCACATGAAGATTATCAAACATTAAAAAAAGTAAAAACTGGCTTGTGTCTGGAAGAGCCAGCAGTCAGAGCAGGAGCCAGTGGAGTCTTGGAAGACTATGATGATTCTAAAACCTGGGTCCATCTATTGATTTTTCTTTTTCAACCACTAAATAGAAGTTACTGAACTCAGTACAAAGTTAGGTGAGTGACTGTTGAAATACAGGTTAATTTTCTTTTCTGTTCTTACAAAGGATGAAGCTATCCACAAACTAGGAACAAAATCATAGGCAAATCCTTGGTTAAATTCTTTTCCATGGGGAATTTTTGTGGGCTGAGCAAAGCTGCAAAGTTTTGCCCTTTGTCCCAGGTTTTTAAATTAGTTTTGTATAATTTACCTCCTGACCTGATGTTGAAAGAATTGGGTTAAGAGTTACAAAGATTGCAAGTTGAGCAACTGTGTAGGCTTCTGGGAGAGTATCCAACCTTGGTCACACAGAAACTTTAGAAAATACCTAATCTCGAACAAAGACAGCAGTCCTGAGATAAAGCTGTAAATTTATTTTTTGCGGTTTTATGGTTGCTGACTTAGAAATATCTTCACGTTTTTGGAATAAATACAAGAGTGTATCCTATAATTACCCTATGTAACTATAATACTAAAATACACACCTATTTGTGAATGCTAATTAAGAGGCCTCCCCAAATGTTTTTCACATGAAATAAAATGTATATGTATGATGAAGGTAGCTGAGAGGAGGATAAGGAAATTTGAGAATACCAATCAGCTGCATTTCGTTACTATAAAAAAGAAACTCTTGATGTGTTCAGGGTGCTGGCTGGTGTTAGATGCCCTGCACCCCACTCTGAAGGACAAATATCCTGACTCACTGTGTTGATTGGTTCTTTGCACACTGGGTGAAGAACCCAGATTTGGGACAGCATTTTTGGCGACCCAGATGGGACAACCATAAGGTTTCACCTGGCTTCTCTTACCAACCCTGGCAGTGGAGTTTTGGATCAGACAGGACTCCAGCACACACTGACCACTTGTTCGTGGTTGAGTGACTCAAAGGTGCAACACTCAAGAGGTATTTGTGTCAAGGGTGCAAGGGGGGAGAAAACTGGATTGGTGAGTACTAATTTGATTCCTCCATGGAAGATTAAAATTTTCTCACATGTAGATGCTTGGCAAGGTGGGGAAAAAGCTTACCTTTGCTGATAATTTCAGAGCCAAGTGTGAGAACGGGGTATAGGTTAAGAAGGGATCAAACCAATCCACAATTCCTCCCTGTAGCCCTTTGGGGTGTATTTTAAAGAACTGGAACTGGTTTGGGGCAGAACTGATGACTAAGGATAAAAGGAAAAGATACCGTAATCAATGGTGGCCAAATTACAAACTAAATGATGATGAACGGTGGCTGGAAAACAGGTCTTTGCAATTTAATACTGTATTACAACTGATGTTCTTTTGTTGTCAGCTGGGAGAATGGGATGAAATGCCTTATGTTGTTGCCTTTATGACTTTGTATAGGGATCCTAATACTCAGAAGAAATGTGGATTAGGAGGTATGTTAATGCCATATATTGAGGAAAGGGAAAATCAATGTGCATCTGTATGCTGCATGAGTGATGAACAAGCTGATGTACATTTGCTAGTCCCTTCTTCCCCTCCCTCCTATAATCCTGGGGCCAAAGGGGAAGAAAGTCAGGAAAGCTCAGAAATAGATCAGAAAAAAGGACAAATGGAAAATGAGAATTTTAGCCATATTTCAAGTATGAATAGAGAGCATTCTCAGCCAGTCATACAGGCACTGTTGAGACAGGATCTTGGGATGGATGGTATGCCAGTCTTTCTGCACATCCCTTTTACTACTTTGGATTTATGAAATTGGAAGCAGTCTGTTGGAACATACTGAGAGAATCCTGACAAAACGTATCAGCTTTTAGAAACTATTATGTTGACTCACAACCTAACTGGGGGTACATGCAGGCTTTCCTGAATACCTTTTTTACTGCAGAAGAAAGAAGGATGGTACTAGAGAAGGTGAAAGAAGAGCAAGGAAAAAGGAATAGGCAGGAGGATCCTAGTCAGTATTTGCCTTTGAGAGAAGATCCAGAGTGGGACAGGAATGCTGGGCTATGAAAAGCTAAACTGAAACAGTATCAGCATCTGATACTATATGGAATACAACATGGGGTCCCAAAACCAAAAAATCTGTCTAAGCTATACGATCTTACACAAGAGCCAGAAGAAAGCCCATTGGCTTTTTATGAGAGATTGTATGAAGTAGCTAAGAAATGGACTCATTTAGATCCAGAAGAGGAGACAAATCAGAAAATGCTCAACGTGTTGTTTGTAGGTCAGTCATCGCAAGATATAAGAAAAAAGTTACAGAAAATAGATAGAGCAGGGGGAATGTCTATTTCTCAGTTGATTGGAATTGCTTATAGGTTATACAATAATAGAGAGGTAAAGAAGGAACATCAAAAAATGAAACTGCAGGCTTCTCGCTTAGCTGCAGTGATTGTAGACAGATGAGGTGGCATGAGAGGACAGGGAGGAGGAGTTTGTGGGGGAAGGGATAGACGGAGTCCAGGAGCAAGACTGGGATATGAAGCATGAAAGGGCCCTCCTCTGGGCTTGAATTACTGTGCTATTTGCAGACAGGAAGGACATTGGAAAAATGAATGTCCCTGCAGGGAAAAGAAAGGAGAGCAAAATCAATTAGGCAACACTGATCTCATCATGCTGGAGGGTTCAGATAATGAATGAAGGCGACCAGGGGAGAATATGAAAGCATCCCAAGCAGATCCCCTAGTCCCAGTAAAGCTGGGGAGTGAAATCATAGATATTTTAATTGATAGCAGGGCCACACATTCAGTAGTGACTAGCTGTAAAGGACTTTTAAGTAAGGTTACTATACCAATTGTTGGAGCAGTTGGAAAAAGAACATTAAGGCCATTTTTACAACCTATGGAGTGTACAACTGGAGGTATTAAACTGACTCGTGAGTTTTTATATATACCAGAATGTCCCCTTCTGTTATTAGGATGAGATTTACTATACTATGTAAGTTAAAAGCTCGAATAACCTTTCCTGAGAACTCTGGGCAGCTTCACATCCCATGCAAAATGGTGGAAAGCACAAATTTGCCTACTGATGGATAAAACTTTGGAAGATCCTGAAGATAATATCCTGGATGTGGTATTGGATGGAGTAATTCCTCTGGTATGGGCTTCAAAAAAAACAGGTAAAGCAAAGAATGTAGCACCAATTAAAATAGAACTGAAACCAGGGATAGGACCCTGTTAGATTGGAAACATGCAAAGGACTGGAACCCCTGAGAAACACTTTTGTATGATATGGACTGGTTAGAGAATGTCAATCCAAGTTCAATATGCTGGACCTGCCTGTAAAGAAACTTCATTCTTAAGAGTATCTACTAGTAGAGGATTTAAGAATAATAAACCAAATAACTAAGGATATACATCCCACTGTACCAAATCCTTACACCTTGCTGGCCTTGGTACCTGAATCAAATGCTTATTTTACTGTGCTGAACTTGAAAGATGCTTTCTTTTGTATTCCAGTGGGTGAGCAGAGCCAGAAAATGTTTGCCTTTGAATGGGAAAGCCATACTACAGGAAGAAAGATGCACTTGTGTTGGACTGTTCTTCCTCAAGGATTTAAAAACAGCCTCACTGTATTTGGTGAGGCATTGACTAAGGAATTAGGACAGTGGCAAAGTGATAAAGTTACTCTTTTACAATATGTGGATGACATTTTGATTGGCGCTGCTACAGAACAGATCTGCATGGGGGCAACAATAAGTTTGCTGAACTTTCTGGGACTGGTGGGATATCAAATCTCCAAAAGGAAATCCCAGATTGCAAAGGAGGATATATATCAATCAGTGAGCTCCTGTGCCCCTGGATTTGCCAGTGCGTGATTTTCAACCTGGAGACTTAGTTTATATTCACACCTGGAAAGATGCTGCTGAAAGAAAAGCGGAAGGGGCCTTACATCATTTTGATGACCACCTATACAACAGTAAAAATGGAAGGAATCAGCTCTTGGATTCACAACATGTGAGTCAAGCAAGCCCCTCTGTCAGAACTTAGAGATGAGTGGAAGGTCATATCGACAGGACCGCTGAAGACTATACTGTTGTGCAAATGGGCCATAAAATGAAGGTTTATGCATTTTCTGTTCTTTCTCAGTGTGTTGACTGGTTCTTCGCATGCCAGGTGAAGAACCCAGAATTGGGACAGCAGTCCATGTCTTCAACTGTAACCACTTATCCTTACATCTCTGATGTGTGGATCTCAGTTTTGGTCAGATTTTATTCCCCAAGAGAAAGTAACTTATTTAACAGTGGAATTATTTCCTTATTCCTTAGCAGGAGCTTTTACAATAATATTTAATCTTCTTATTAGGCAAATGAAATCAAATACCTACAACCTGCACAACTTAATCTTTTCAGTGATATGCAACAGCATAAAATATCTGGATGCAGATTTTTCCCTCAGAACAGATACTCTGTCAAAACCAACAGTAATTCACGGTGTTCTCCATGCTACATGGAGATTGTGGTAGAGAACTACTGACCAGCTGTAAATAATCCTATAGGATATCATTTGCTCCTGAGAAAGAAATACAGACCATGGATATAAAATTAAGTGTTATTATGACCTTAAGTGCAACCCATTTCAGAATTAGGATTATAGACCAGAAATATATTTAGATGGTACCTACATTATAAATCAAAACTCTATTAACAGGACCTGGTGGAAAAAATTAATCTAAGAAGGTTTTACTGGTGAAAAATGGTCTTTTAAATATTCCCTAAATACATCCATAGAAAATGGTCATTCATAACGGGGTTTTATGTCATATTCTGATATACACATTCATTTTTATTGTTTTTTCTTACTTAAAGAAACAACTGCCAGTAAAAATATCAAGATTTTTGTTAAATGCAACCTTTCTTTGAGGTTGTGACATCTACTGTTAATGCTAAAAATCAGTGGTTCCACTTTCATTCCTTTAACAGAAAACCCTAATCATTTTGATTATTCTTTTTAATAACATAGTAGGATAGTTCTCATTTCTTAGTCGGCTCTAATTCTATGATTTAGCTATAATCTACAGATTTCAGAGCACTGCAATGACAAAAACTACACAATACCCTGTAAAAACACAGAGGAGAGAAAGAACATTCAGGAATGGTATTGAAGAATGAAAATAGTATTTAAGACTGGTAAGATGAAAAATATTTTAAATCCAGGATTCCCTAGTGGTTTACAAAAATGTCTTCAAAGCTTTGCTGTGAGAGCCTTCAACAGTTTTTAACGCTTTTTCACCTGCTAACATAGAGGTGAAAATGAAGTAAGAAAATTGAAGAAAAGACCCAATAATGGCAAAGTCCTCTGAACTGCTGCAAGAATCAGAAAGGAATTTTCCTGATTTAGTACCATCTGCTTCTCAATGATCAGCAACACGAGGAATTTAGACAAACAACGTTTTCCTGACCTGTTTGCTGTGGACAGTACAGACTGAAAGCTGGCTGGGCTAGATCCTCTTCATTCAATTCACTTGGCTCTCAGGATGTGTTTCCCAAACGAGAGGTACTGTAAAGATTAGCCTTTATCTGGACACGTGAAACCTGGACTCTCTGTCAAAAAGGATTTGGAGCGAAACCCTTTCTACTTTATTGTTTGCGTCTTTTGAAGTAATGAGAACAGAACATAGCACAAAACAGACCAGGCAGCACAATTCTTTCTGTGGAGTAAGCTTTTTCTTGTAATCATTTACACCATTGTTGATTGTGTATGATTTGTACCTTAACCTAAGCACTTTGTATCTTCTCTTTTCCCTCACTTTAACCATTTCAGTAGATCACAAATACATCAAGATGAAGAGAAGCAATTAAAGAATATGCCTTCTTCCACTCAGAAGGAATCTGGGAATGTTACAGTGATAGTTTTTGAAGAGAGAATATCACTTCGCTGCTGATACCTACTACAGGACAAAGATTATTTATATTAATTTCTCATTTATTTGTAATTATCAAAATGCTGTAGTTACACTTTTTTTTTTTTTTTTTTTAAAAAAGGCAGCTGCTTATACTAATTACAGTAAAAAAATTAAACCTTTGTAAGCTCCTGGATCTGTCCTTTCTCTTTCCCATTCTTCTTTCTTAATCACTTGAACCTTCTCCCTTCTGAAAATTTGTAGGTTGGTGGAAAAAGTGGTTCTAATACCACACATCCTCAAGCCATGAGTGTTATCTCCTTTTTTTTTACATAGCTTGTTTTTCCATATGTTCTCCTAGTGTTATGGGTCATGACAACATTCCAGGTGTGATGTGGTATGGCTGGTACAGATGATGGAAATTTTGTCTCCTCAGTTTCCAGGTCATGTTATACCCTTCCCCACTCTTTGTTCCTTAGAACCTTTCTCTGGATTTTTCCAGTAGCCGTCTTTGGCAGATCCTGAACAAACTCTACCTGAAAGTCAAAAATGTTCACTTTTAGCCAAATACATTTCAATTAATCTCCCAGATGCAAGGAAAGACACACTTTTATTATGGCTGGGGTAAAAAGATGGGAAACTGCACAGCTTGGGGCTGGGACAGTGAAATTCCTTACTATACATCTTAGCTGACTGTACAGATAGCACTTGCAGGGACAAGTACGACAGTCCTGAAGAGATGAGTGCTTCAGCTGTCAGGACAGCGAGTTACTGGTGTCTTTCCTGAATTCCAACCACTCTGATGTCAGCAGGAATTTCCACTTTGCTTTGGCTGAGAGTCTGAACTGAGCCCAAGGGAGGAAAGGGTAAGAGCTGAACAACTTGTCCATTTGAGTTGCTGTGAAAAACCTAGTATTTAATGAAAGGAAGACTAGACCCTGATAAAGAAAATTTACATTACTATTTCCTCCCTTTGGGTCCTTTCTAGCACATATAGTGAACCCAAGGCTACAGCTGCAAGAGATCTTGTAATTTACTTTTATTTTATTTTATTTTATTTATTTTATTTTATTTTATTTTATTTTATTTAACTATGGTTGGAGTGTTTGTCAGAATGCAGTTGAAAAGAAGCTGAGGCAGGACAAAAACTGTTCAAGTTTTTATACAATTAGAAGACCTGTCTTTTTGTGGTGTACTTACCTTCCTTGGATACTTGTAAGGTGCAGTCACCGTCTTGACATGTTGCTGAAGCTCATGAGTTAATTTTTCTGGATCATGCGATATAAAAGCAGGAGCTAAAACAATGAAGGCTTTGACTACCTGTACCACAAAAGTTAGGGGACTCCATTAATTTCCGGATGTGGGAATAAAAGGATCCATTTGTTGCCAAAACTAAGTATCAAAATTCATAATGCAAATATTTGAGTTTTTTCTTCAATTTCCCTTTTCATTGGCTGTTTATTACAGAATGCAATGTTATGAAGGTGTCCTGGGTTTGAGTGAGTTGTGGTGTGGTTGGTAGCAGGGGAGGGGGCTACAGTGATGGCCCCCTGTGAGAAGCTTCTTGCAGCTCCCCCGATCCAAGCTGGCCCCACCTCTGCACCAAGGCTGAGCCAATCAGCTGCACCTCTGTGATACTATATTTAAGAAGGGGACCTGGGAGTAGGATATATTCTGCAGCAGATGATTTTTTGCTATTTTTCCACTTTTTTTCTTCTTAGCTCTATATACTACTAAACTTCCAAAAAGTTGTAGAACAGAAAAAAAAAGATAACTGAAAATCTGACCCTGGGGCTCAAAGAAATGTTGCAAAGTTGAAAAATATAAAAAGAAAAATTAAACACTCTGGATATCATTGCCATCATGTGCTTAGTAAGAAAAAGATAAATAATTCTATTTCTATTTCTTAGACAAAAAGATGTCACAATAAGTCTGAAGAGCCAAACTTTTTTTCCACATCAAACCCTGAAAACAGGGAAATAATTCTGAAATTCTAAGATATGTTAAGTAATGGTTTTAAAATTTTTTTGACCCATTTTAATTTCAAAAATCTGCAACATGTTTAATTGCAAGGAAGCCTAGTACATATACTGAACCTGATTCTTGGAATGAGGTGCATTACTTTTTATATCTTTTTTTTTTTCTTTTTACCTCCCCTCGAATTGGATCAGGACTGCTGACAACAGCTGACTCTGAGACTGCAGGGTGTTGTATTAATGCACTTTCAACTTCAAATGGACCAATACGATACCTAGAATAAAATACAGACATGACAGCTGTAGCAAGCTAGCCGTTCAATTGGTCTTTCCAGATTGAATTTTAACAGGCACATGAGCAAATCTAAAAGCAACTGACTTACCCAGAAGAATTAATTATATCGTCAGCTCTTCCAACAAACCAGACATATCCTTCTTCATCCATAATCCCTCTGTCCCCAGTGATATAAAAATTTCTACACACAGAGGCAGCAGTTTTCTCTGGATTATCCTGATGACAGTCAAACATTTCAAAAATGTATCTGATTGTTAGTGAAATGTAATACATTTACTTTGCAGTGGTAGTAAAGATGATCAGGACAACTTTTTAAGTTGTTTTCAAAATGTGTATGTTCAATACTATGCTATGTCTTCAATTAAAAAAATAGAGCCACATTAATTAGCGGTTTTGTGGTGGAAACATTCAAGAGGTGGAAAAGAGCATTTGTGTATACGTGGATTCATGTTCTAGGGAAAAAAAGACTCTGCTCTATCAAAATGGCTATCCATCACAGCAAATTACTAAAATGTATAACTCTCTTCAGAGAAACGATTTATCATTGCAGGGGGTTGCCACAATAATGTCATGTCAATGGAAACTTTTTACCCCTAACTTTCAAGACCAAAACATAAATGAGGTGACCTAACAGGAAAAACTTCCTTATCTACATTGATCTATCATGTCTAGATTACACAGGAAAAACATCTTGACAACAGAAGACATAATGAAAAATTGAAGTAATGGTACTGAACCAAAAGAAGTTTTTTATCACATAGTGAGCAATTACTTTGTGCAAGTTGTTGTTTGAAGATGCTACAAATATAAAAATATTATGGGGGTTCAAAAGAAGATTAAACACATAGTTAGGTTCCCCGAAGCTTATTCAACACAATAGTTTAAATGCAGTGAAAAATATATTTGCCTGATTCTAGTATTTTCTTAAGTATGTACTACAACTCAGCACCACCACAGAAGGAATACTAACTTAGATGGACCTTTGACCTGAACCAGAATGGCCATTATTCTGACATGTTTCTTTAAGCCTGTTCTGCTTTCAGTGGTAGAGCATTCCCATTCAAATAGTAATGTTAGGTTATGTATGCGACTACCACAGAGCCATATGATCATCTACACTTGAGGGTTTTGTGCTGTAGTTTGTCTTCGTACTGATGATCTTGTGTGCATCATCCATGTGACAGACAACTGTACAAAGGGTTTCTCTGACAACAAAGATACGTGCATGCTGGAATGTCTAACTTTTAAAGATTTAAAAGATCAATTTGTGGGTACCTCTGACATTGGTATGAGGGAATAAGATACTTGTGCTCTTTGGATGTATTTTGATGTATTAGAGTAGCCTTTATGTGCTTCCTTTATTAATCCTTAACCAAGGATAGGAGCGGAGTGGAAGGGAAAGGAGTGATGCATTGAACATGAAGCCTATCCCAACTGCCTAGTACAGGTCTAGAACAAGGTACACCCTGGCTCATGTTGCATTTTGAAGTTACATGCTGCCAGTCAGCCTGTTCCTGGAATAGCAGAACACTGTACTGATCAGGCTCAAAGCCTTCAACCAACCTAGTGAGACCTTGTGAAGATCCTGGATGAAATTCTGCTCCTTGAATAAGTCAACAGAACTTTGCTCTGGGACTCTCTTGAGCTTTTCAGCAGGCACAGACAGACCAACTCAGACTTACCAAGTACTCAGAGAACAGACAGAATGGTCGCATCGGCTTAACTCGGACAGCAATGTTGCCTTCTGCTCCTGTAGGACAAATAGCCCCACGGTCATCTACAATCTGCAGAAAGGACAGAATATCATAATTGCTTTGATTAGCTCAGTGAAATATCTGTTATAGCACAGTGCAGGACAGAGGAGGGACACAGACAGCATTCCTTTACCCACAACTGCTGCTGAGCTCAGATGTGACATATCAACATACCTGCACATCATAAGGGGGAACAGCTTTTCCCAAAGAGCCAGGTTTAATTTTCATTCCTTTCATATTGGCACATATCGTCACCTGTATAATAGGATTTTTTTTTTTTTTTAATTTGTGCAATATCTGGTAGACTTTATTATTGTTTGCATTAGGCATGACAACTCTTCATGACTTTGTTGTGACAAGGGCTGAATCAGGACTAAAGCTCTGCAGTTCTTAAGCACATCAGAGAGGAATTGAGAGGCATTTCAGGTTAGCCCTGTGGCATGAGGTTGCCTGTGCTCAGTCTGAGCCAGTGAGTTCTTCTGCAAACACCTGAATTTGCAAGACAGCAGATGTGAAATTATTACAGATCTTATTTCAATAGTGGGACAATTAATTTGGGACCATATCAAGGATAATAGGAGAGAATGCCTGAAATCTGACTCTTAATAGCTTAGTTAATGTCCACTTATAGAGAAGTCTGGGATGTGAATTGATTTAATATTTTTCATTAAAACCTCGGACAGGACAAATTGATACCCAGAGCAAATTATTTCTTTTTTTTTTTTTTTTAGTTTTGCC